CCAGGAGGAGGAGGAGGAGGAGGACTAGAGTAGGAGGAGGAGGAGGAGGAGGACCAGAGTAATACACGCAGGATGCGTCAACTATGCTACACTACACCCGCCCGTCCAAAGTTCCTTTCTCCATGAGTCTGCACCAGCATGTCGCGCCATGGTGTTGACAGATCCCGTCTGAAACGAATCGGAGGTCTCCTTAGGTACATTATGGATTCCTTCCCGACGTTGTTCCATGTATTCGCACGATTTGATTGTGTGAGTTACCCAGTAGAGGAAGGCAGTAGTGAGCACGACGAAAGAGGTTAGCATGCGCATGTCTGGATGGTCGGTGTTTACCAATGGGTGCGCCTAGTTTAGACTGAACAAATTGAGTGCAGTGCCAATGGTGATGTTGGAATTCAAGCCATCATACAATTCCTGAAGACGAGGACATCTGGTCCATTTGCAAGGATGGGTGCCAATCACGAAGCCACCGACAAGCCAAATGTTCGACATCGTAAGCTCGTCCAGCATATCTGGGAACACCGAAGACGTAATCGTGCTCCTGAGCGAGGCGGTTTTCATCACAGCGTGGATATCTATGAACCCGAGGCCGAAACCGAAATTCTTCAGCTGAGTACCGATGTGAAAAAAATGCGCTTTCTGGGCCAGTTTTTGTCTTGGCATGACAGTTCCTTGTGTCTTTGATCAGGTGAACGTCTATAGGATGGAGCCGAAAACACAGACTTAAAACACCGAACACGAGATGTCACGGACGACAGCGCAAGTCCTAGCCCGAGGCGTCGCGTGCGATAAACACGGGCATGGAATGCAGGCAATACAGCCACACATGGCGATGCCATTCAGGACCGATCAGGGTACGCAAGTGCAAAGCCCAGGAGACCACCAGAGAACGGGGACCATAGCCGGCAATAATAGCTATACCGTTCTGCTTGCTACAGTACAAGATCAGCTGGCATGTGTTTGCTTTTGAGGCGTTGTTTGCAAAATCGGCCAGCATCACCAGGGCTTTTGATACCGGGCCAAAACGGTCAGCAAATTCACAACGTCGGCATATGCCATGCTGGTAGGTGCCGCGAGCATCCGTGTCGAAGTCAGCGGATCAATGGGCCTACAGCCAACACTGACAAATACATCGAAGCAGGGCAGCCCTGCTTCACCCTATCCAACGACAAATCAAACCGACGACCACCACAAGTGGTAATGGTAGCGCCATCCCCCCACGCAACGTCAGGAGTACTTGGCACATTCGACGAGATGCACATGCGCTGCGGGGTAGAGATTGCCATACTTGTGCGAGGCAGGGGAACGCCGACGCGAAGTCACCGAGGAAGAGGGTCGAGTGACAGTCATCGCGCACCTGTCCAACAGGACCTCAAGTTTCAGCACGAGCAGTTCCAGAAACCATTCCCCAATCAGAACTTGCATTGAAGGGGTCCTAGTGGATGTTGAACGATTTGGCGAAAGTCCTGGGCCGATTTGGCTAGCCGGCGGCTGGGTTCTCGGGTTTCCTGTTCCAGGTTCTCGGGTTCCCGGTTGCTGGTTCTGGGCCGATATCGCGACTACGACCCCAAAGTTTTCAAATCATCCTTTGAGTGAGGTTTTTTGTTCGTGTGATGTATCTATTCGCCACACATGGTTGTGCTTGGTTTGCCAGATGACACGTGTTATAGCCACAGCATGGCGAATGAATTCATGAACGAGCAGCTTGACATCCGGCTTGGTCATGCTGAAAGGCCGGGTGTTTGATGCAATATTTGGCGGTACATGAATAGATCTTCCGCAAGCAACGGTTTTGAAAGTTGTCGATCCTCCGCCGCTCTGCTTTGTTCAAACACGCGGCGCGCAGTGAGCGTGTCAACTTCGAGACACAATAAACACTAAAGATGCGGATTTGTGTGCTGCTGAGCCTGGAATGCGACCAAATCGAGTAGAGTGTCTTAAATCGCTCGCGATTGGCCCTAAGCGGCGACCGAGTTGAGTCCCGACCCGACCGTCGGCAGACAGAGATGCACCCCTTCGTTGTTCATTATAGAAGCGGCAGATCTGACGCCCATGCGTTCCAATTTCTTCCTATTGAATTGCAGTCCATCGTGTGCTCCGCATTGCTCGACGCTTTGCATCATTTCCTGACTGGATCAAAGCGGGGTCCCTGTCGATGAGGCGGGCGGTGTGGAGGGGAACTGGCTCCCGCCCAAGACACTTCGCTCGGGGGTCAGCGCCAACGGGGTCAGCCAGTTACGGTGGAGCAGTTGGTCGAGGAATGTCCCCAGGAGGCTGCAGACCCGTGGGGCCTTCCTTATCTGATGAAGGCGGCGGTGGTACCCACGGCCGATCCACGATTGGGGTGTCACCGTTTTCCACACCGTGGACTCTTGACCCAAAGGTTATTCATCCAGTGGCCTCGCCGCAACAGGGATCAACCAATCCCCTCTGGCTGACCCACGTCTGGGAGCCACGTTCGTCCGACGCCCCCCGACCCCCACCCTCCGCCGACCAGAGCCCGAGAGCTGAGGTGCGCCGGGCTGGGCGCTCGCGACATGGCTTTGTTCGACCCTGGTCAGCACGTCCCCGGCCCGCGCGGACTTTCGAGAGCCCGTGTGTGCTTGGCTCTGCGCAGCGGCGCGCGGGTTCACATCATTGGCTCCCGGCGCGTGCCCCGCCCGCCAGGCGGATGCAGCAGAGAACGCTCGGCCCTGGCATCCCCGACGTCAAGGAGGAGCTTGGCCGCCACTGCGGCATCGTGCGCTCGTTCGACCAAGAGGTCGGGGGGGTCGTCACCCAGACCCGCTCGCGTCGTGAGAACAAAAAAAATTGCGGAAGGGCTCTTCGACCTTTGGGGGCGGCGCTTCCCTCTCCATTTTCTGCCTCTCGGGGCCCTCCCGGTGCCCCAGGACTGGTCAAAAGCAAATCTCGGGATGCAACGCCGGCCCCAGGGAAGCGGCCGAGACTTCCAGGAGGCCGCGCTGTTTCAAGATTCGCGTGTTCGGACTCCCCCCTCCCTCCCATGGGAGGCTGCGGGGCCATCAAAAATCAGTATCGTTGAACCGACCCCCATCCCCATCCTCATCCCCTTCGAGACCCCCACCAAATTACCACCCCAGTTGGGGAGACACCCTTCGAAACCCGAAGGGAGCGGCCTATATCCCCATCTATGGGGCTAAACCGGCCAGTGGGGCCCAGGCCACGCCGCTGGGGATGGGTGTCGGATGAACGATGCTGAGCAAAAGCAGCCCACGGTGAAGATCTGGTCTTGGGGGAGAAGCCCGGGGCCCAGGTCCCCGACGGGGCAGCCCCGGGGCCAACCTGGGCCCAGGGCCCCCGGGGGTCTCGACCGTTTCCTGGGGGCACGTTTCCAGCCTCAGTCTGAAGTCGGGAAGTCGGGCGTGTCCCTCTACAGGAGGAATATTCAAAAATGATCAAACATTGTCTGGCGACTCGTATTTTTGCTTGTGTTTGAGTATTTTGTGACTCTTTTTAATTCTTCCTCGAAAATCGGCCTGTAGGGGGACAGGCCCGACCTAACCCCAGTCTGTTGTTTGACGGCCCCGGGCCTGTGTCTTGGTACAGTCAACCCGCATAGTAGGGATGAGCAACCTTACCCTTCCCAAGGGTATCCTTGGCCGCTTTCGCTGGCCGCACCCCGCTCGAGAAGCTTCGATATGGGCGTCCAGGCCCTTACATCCTTGCTGCACATCCTTCTGATACGGGTTGACAGTAGCATGTGCGGGCGCCAAAAGGCCGAGAACGGCTCGGAATTCCACCATGTTTCTATTCACGGCATGGGGTCTCCAAGAGATATCCGGGAGCGATTCCCCTCGGGACTTTCTCTCCGTTGTGCCGGACGGGGCGGTTCCAGTCGTACCGCATGGGGGAGAGCCGCCGTTCGCCGACGGGCAGGACGTGGAGGGCGCGGAGGACGAAGAGGTTCGCTTCGCTTCGCAGTCGCATTCGGTCGGTAAGGTTCGGTCGTCTGCTGCGCCGCTGCGTCCTTCAAGGCTGCTTTCGGTCCGTCGGTTTCGGTCAAGTTGCCATTTCGGTGTCGCCATCGGTTCGGTCATTTTTCGACTTGGGAGTCGCCGCAGACGCCTTTAGAAAGGCGGGAGTAGGTGGACGACGGCGCTGACGAGAAGTGCGAGGACGAGAAGGAGGATTTCGGGCAGGCCGAGACGGAGGATAATGAGGATGGGGGGGAAGAGGGAGGAGGGACAATAAATGAGGCGGAAGTGAGGAAGCAAGGGGCAGGAACCATCAGGGGAATGGAAAGCTGAGAGAAAAGGAGGAAAGAAGACCGACAACATGAATGAATAGTGATACATTAGAGGGGTGAACGAGAGGGGAATAAAGAAGGTTGGAAGAGAGAGGTGGGAGGAGGAAGCGGATGAGGAGGGGTGGGGAAGGAGGGAAGGGAACAACACAAACGGAAGACGACGGAAGAGTGCGCAAGGAGGACGGCCGAGAGGGATGAGGCGACGAGGGAGGCGATGGGAGACGCGAGGTGAGAATTCCAGAGGGGGCACGGGAGTTGGATGAGCAGGAAGGAGCAAAGAGCAAGGATTACGCAGGACGCAATGATGTTTAAGGATGCCGAAGACAATTTTTTCGGGCTGAAGGAAAGAACTGTGCCAGGGGGCGAGGAGTAAAAGACTGCGGCACGGGGAGGGGGAGGAGGAAGAGCAGGGGCGGGTAATGCATGGCGGGCCAGGGGGAGGTGGGGGGGCACGGGGAGCAGGATCGAGAATCAGTCTACTTAATGTTTCGATGTGGGCCAGCGGGGTCCTCACCTACCCCCCATTGTTGTCCTCTTCCTGTTCCTCCTCCTCCTCATCTTTCCGTACCCATTTTGCCTCGAGGGGTTTGCTCCTGATTTTTTTTTTTTCTCGGGGTGCCTGGTGGCCAGGCACCAACGGCGGGCCGTGGACGCGCCCCCTGGCCCTCGGCGACCGCGTCTCCTTCCCCTCTTCCTCCCCACCTCAGCCATGGAGGCCATGCGCAATGTTACCCCGTGGACAGGGGAATCCCTGATACCTACAGTTCAATCGAGAGCGAGGGGAGTGAGGGCCGCTCCGATTGCCCGCCATCCCGAGGCACTCGCACGACTGATTCCGACCTGGGTGCCGCTCTCAAATAGCTCATTCCGGCTCTGCCGTGCAGCGTTGATTCGCCCACCCCGCAAGTGGATCGTGGCATCACTGAGACTAGCCCGCAGAATTCAGGAATCCAGGGCTGGATGTTGCAGTCTGAGGAAAAAGTTCAAAGTTTGCAAACCGCCCATACAGATCTCGCGAAGCAGGCCATGGATAACGTTGCACATGTCCGTGCTATCCAGGAACAGGCCTTCCTGCAGGCCAGTCAGGATCGTGAGATTGCTTCGAAGGAGATAAGGAAGGAGGTGATAGAGGGCCACTGGTACGACGAAGGAGCAGCTCGCGACGATGAGGGAAGCGCAGATCGGAGGCAGGCGCGCCCCGACCGCTGGAACGGCAACCCCGGACCTGGAACATTTGACCGCTGGACCGCTGGATGGGGGGGCACCTGGACGGCGGGTGCGTCCTCGCCTCCTCGCATCCAGCTGGGTGACGTTGGCAGCCATTCTCGTCTGGTGGTCCTGGGATTCCTTCGCTGTCTTTTGGAAGCGACTCTTCGCTGGGCTCTCGCCCCGATCGTGATCGCGCGCGCATTGGCCAGCGACGCCATGCGCATCCAGGGCGAGGCCTTCGACTGCAACGAGAAAGAGTTTATAGCATTCCCGAGCACGGTGACGGGTTGCACCTGCCACGCGAAGTGCGCGTCTGAGAGGCCGCCCACGCGTCCTGCCCCAGAGGGCCGAACGGAACTTGAGTTCCGCGTCCGCCGCTGCCCCCCTCAGTCGCCTTGCAAAGTGTTCTACTATCTACGTCGGGCATGCGAGGCGGGCAGCGGCGCGCATCTTCGGGCGAGAGCGCGTCGGATCCACGAGGCCCGGGAGAACGATGCATGCGCTAGCGTTTGCAACGGCGCGTCGGCGGGGAACGCGAATGCGTCGGCGGTTCGACTGAGATCGAGGGCGAAGCACATGCGCCTCACGCGCGCGCCCGCCCCCTGGAGATTCGCCCCCTCTGGCGAGCGCGACAGCTGTCTTGGAGGAAGAGGGTTCGACGGGGGCGTTCCTGAGGCTTCGGTATCTGCGAGCCCCATTGGGCCCCCATCACTTGAAAACAGAGATAGGTGCCATTCGATCGACGCAGCGCCGCAAGTTCCCCGCCCCACCCCCCCGGCGGGCCGGAGTTGCCGGCGGAGCCCATCGCCGTTCTACCCCGCCCACGCTCTGCGCGTGGAGCACCCGGGCTCTCTCTCTCTCTCTCTCTCTCTCTCTCTCTCTCTCTCTCTCTCTCTCTCTCTCTCTCTCTCTCTCTCTCTCTCTCTCTCTCTCTCTCTGCGCGTGCTCCCATATCTCCCCCTCTTCTCAGGGCGAGCCCAAGATTTCGCGGCAGGCAACGAGGTTGCCTGAGAGGAAGCGCACGGTTCCAGGGCAGACTTGGCCGCGGTAGCAGACGAGTCGCGCGCGGCGCAGCATTCGACAGTTTTATCAGGGACAGGGCAGTTGTAGGCGTTGCATACTTGACTCTGAGGTTATTGTTGCAGTGGCCCCGCGCGCGGTTCCGATGGGCGCGGTCGAAGGAAGGGCGCCCGCTCGACGACGCCCGGGGCCTGGACGGGGACCTCGCGAGAGCGAATATGATCACATGAGCACATATAAACAAGATATTCATAAATACACATACATGAAAAAATCTAGATGTGTCACCCCCACGCAGCTCACAGTTTAGCTTTGTTGCAGGAGGCTGGAATTGTGTCCCGGCGGAAGATAAGGGGCTTCTTGCGGCGGGCGAGTTCGACCTTGGCGATAGATTGCAGTGCGACGCCTGTCGCGAGCACTGCGGCCTCTGGCGCGGAGCCTTTCAGCCTGGCCCAACGCGCTGGGACATAGCCTGCAGCGGCATTCGCGGCCCTCCTCGGCGCGACAGAATCTGCGCGCCCTACCAGCGGGCATCGTCAACGAGTAGGTCGCGTCGGCCAGCGCAGCGGGGGCCCTGACCTACAGAGGGGCCTCGCCGGATCACGCGCCCGCGGCGGCGACGATCGCCTGCCCCAGAACCTGGAGGTCCCTTCGCTGCGCCGAAATGGAGTTGTCAACACGCCGTTTACACGGCGATGGCTTCCGAACAGCTCAGGGGGCTGACCCTCCAAGATGATTTTTCGGAGCGCATTCGAAGAGCGACAGCTTTCTTTTCGGAGCGTTGGCGGCCGAATGTGGGCAGCCCCATCAAGGATCGGCGCGCATCGAAAAAATGCCGATCACCCCAATGTTGCACTCATGGCACGCCGAGGGCGGATGGGGGTAGCAGCGGCATCTAGTCGTTCGCGCGCTCCGATGCCACGACGCTCTCTTTCCCCACGTGGACGTTAGCCGCGGCATCTGCGCGTGCCTCAACGGCATGTGTTCCATGGTGTTGGTTCTGAAGAACAGATGCTTCAAGGAGGAGGTGGGCGGCGCGGGGCAGCGCGGGGCGTCTGGCGAGGTTGATCACTGCGAGGAAACGTCTGTTGGATTTTCAGAGCGAGGCCATCTGCGACGTCGGCGTGGGCCCAGGGGGGGGGGCGGGCGCTGGGCGAGGCTGCTTGTGATGGCGAAGGCGCTGCTCTTCCTGAGTGATGTAGGACGGGCGGAGTGGTTTTGCTTTCGAAGGGGAAAGAGCCCGCCGATCAGGGAGCAATTGTCTCAAGGCTGCCCGGATCATCCCCCCCCCCTTTCTCTCTCCAGCGCGGGCGCTAAGGTCCTCTTGGACGCTCTCCGCGCCGGGCCGAGCGAATTAGCACCTCGGGCGGCCATGGAGCAGCAGCGGGGGGAATAGATATCCGAAATCATGCGGCTGAGGCGGAGAAATGGAGGCCATGCCAATTTTTGCGCGGTTGGATAAAGCCAGTGTCCTAATTCCAGAGCGGCGCCCCCCGCGATCCTCTCGGCGTGGATTTCCCGAACCCCCAGGGCCACGTACGCCCCGCGGACCACCGTATACATGCCGCCTGCATATGAGTAACATTGCGGTGGTCAATTCCGCGGAGAGCGGGTGCATTAGGCCCCTCGTCCTGCGAGGGGGAAGGCCGGGATATCCGCATTCGACGATTCTCTTCCCCCATGCGGTGGATCTGGTTGCCCACCATCGGTCTCTCGCTGAACATCGGCAAATGCCGCGCGCTTGTCTGCGGGACTTTGCCTCGCGCGTTTTCTGGGCACGCGCGGAGGAAAGGAGGGCGATTCCATGCAATCAAATTGGGGACCCACGCGTTTTATCTCGGGTCCTAGGTCGGCGCGACGGTTCGCGCTGCAGCGCGGCGAAAAGTCACGATTCCGTTATGGCAGGGGGCGCGGCATCTTCGGTCTCTTTCTTTGGGGCTACCCACTACGATTTGGCTGTGCCATTCGAACTGCGCATCAGTTCTGCAATGTCAGTTTCAATCGAACCGCAGCAGTGCAGAGGTGGCCAGGCAATCGGGCGACTGTGCAGATCTTAGCGGCGGGGCCCAGGCACGCGCGCAGCCATCTCAGCTTCGCGGCCTGAGGATATCGCTCGTTCTAGTGGACTTGAGGGCGTTGCCGGAGGCGGCTGCGCATCGTGTCTTGGTCAAGCGTGAGGCGAGTTATCTGGGTTTGCATGATCTAGGACTGCTCATGGCGAGAATGATGACGATGTCTGTCCTGGTCGGCAGCTTTCTCCCTGGCGGGGGAACTCGATGATTAAATGCACAAGCGAGGATGCTGGTGACCATCCCTCCTCAACGTTACGCGGACGCGCGGGAAGACCCAGCGCGAGGCGCGCAATTCTTTCGAGAGATTCGAGCACGGATGACCCCATTGGCTCACTTGCAGGTTCGCATCGGACGCTGGCCCATGAAAGTTGAGATGCCGGTTGTATTCGGAACGGCTGCATGGCACTCGGAACGGCTGCATGCACCCACCTCCCCAGTGGTGCTCGCAGGATTGCTTCTAGAGGGGCATGCACCCCGGCCAGGTTTCTCGGCGCGGACCGGGGGCGCCGTTGCCGCCGCGGGGGGGCGTGGCGACCGCCGCCACTGCAAATCTTTTGCCGCCCCCTTGGACCCCAGGCGTTCAGAACCTGCCTGGACGGTTGAGGGAAGTTCCTTTCGACGACGTGCCTCGGTTTTCTGTTCTCGCTCTTCTGGGACCTACATGGGGGCCTGATCGTGATATCGCTGCTTGTGTTTTTGCTGCCGTTCTTGGGACCCACGCCCACCCTTGCCTAGGCACGGCGCACCTCCGCAACAGATATGTCCCGCGCGTCTGAGGAAATCAGCCAGGAGGCATCACTAACGATCCTGCCCGGGGGGGTATCCAGGTGTTGCTTCCCAACTTTCTCGGTCTGGGCTCTGGTCCCGATTTGTAACTTACTCGATTTCGACCGTTTTCCTGGAATGATGGCGCCTCTCACGCTTGGGAACTGGAGCGCCGAACAGGCCGTGGCCACTGCGTGCTCCTGGAGAATGATGGAAGCTCGCGAGTGTGGTTCCAGTGTTTCTCACCGGGGATCGTGGCCTCGACAGCGCGGATCCACGCCTCAGTGTGGCAGGGGGCACGGTGGCGGAGGTTGGTGTCTTTGTTTGTGCTGTCGGCGCAGGGCAGGTGACCGAGCCTGGGATGAGGGTCAGGGGGGGAGCTGGGGCGGAGAAAGGTGGTTGTCGCGCGTGGTCCCCATGACGTCGTGCAAGCCACAGCGTTCAATCAGTGCTCCGCGCTGATTTCTTGGATCTGCGCAAGGCCCCCCCCGGCGGTGCCTCTGGCGCAGACCGCCCGTGGCGTGGTTCGCGCGACAAGGAGGGAGGTCCAGCGCAGTTCCAAGAAACCCGCGCGGAGCGCCAACTGTTTATGTTTATGATGTCTGCCATGTTTTCTGCTTTAGCCATCCATTTCTGCGGCGCGCGGGCAGGTCGGTTATGGATTCGTCCTCTGCCCTGAGATCCACGACATGGGGTACCTTCACGACGTGTTCGTCCACCACATGCAGATAGGCTTATCTTTGCTGGGCAGGGAAAGGAACGGGCAGGCGGAGTGGGGAGATGGAAGGGGAAATGGAGGTAGGTCGATCAGGGGAGAGGGGAAGAGAGGAGGGGAAGGAGGGATGAAGAGAAGCAGCAGCACGATCAGGAGGAGATGAAGGAGCAGGAGGAGGACTACGAGAGAGAGGATTGTCGGGGTCAGAGGCACGAGCAGGAGCAGACGGTTCCTCCCTCATCCATCCTGCTTTCACCTTCCTTCCTTCCTTCCTCCTCACCTCCCTATTGTTCCCTCTGCTTCCGTCCTCCCTTCTCCACGCTCTTCCGTTCTCCTCACCCTCTTCACCCCCTCCCCCTCCGCGCCTTCCCGCTTCGGCCCCCGCAGGAATCTTTGAGAAGGGAGACATGATTGAGTTCGACGCCTACCTGAACAGCAAGGGGCTCCCCCAGTGCCACAACCTGTCCGCCTGCCACGGGGAAAGGCGGGACGGCGCCCCCCTGTTCTCTGGAATATGGGCGGAGAAAGGAGGGCTTTCCCAAGCGGATTCGGTCGGCGAGGCGGAGGCGGGAGCGGCGGTTGCGGCGTCAGAGAGAGATGGGACGACAAGGCCGTTGCCTTGGGCGCAAGCTGGATCCCGAGAGCTGATGCCCTGGCACGTAGGGAGGGGGGGGCGCGGAGGAATTGCATTGACTACAAGAGCAACGTATTGAACGTCAGTAACACCTCCAGGGAGTGCCATAGGCGAGGCAAGCTTGCAGTCCTTCGGTCACCATACCTGCGCCGTGCCCCAGCTGGCGGCCTCGAGGTGATGCTATTACAATCGAAACTACATGTCATTGCCGAGTCACGATGGAGCGCTATGCTGCACAAGCATTGCACTCAGCATGCACACTCTGCATTATATACATTGGCAGGCTGGGAAAGTGGCAGGAGGTTTGAGCGTGAACGGCTCCTTCTTGTAGCTTGCCATCCGCTCATTCCCCCAGTCTCCACTCGGAGGCACAGGACACCCGCATAATTACCAGTAATGCCCAGTCTCCCTCCTCCCCTCCTTCCCACCCCTCAACTCCCCTGCCTCCACTCCATCTCCTTCCTCCGCTTTCGTTCTACCCTGTCCCATTTTCCCACCTTTCCCCGCCTCCCCCCCCCCCGCGTCCCCTTACCCCGTTGTGCTCCCATCCTCTTCCCCCTCTCCCCTGCCTCACCCATCCCCAGATGATAGCTCCCAGAGGGGGCATGTGCAGAATGCTCCCAGGGAATATACCAAAGGTCAGGCGTGTTGCAACGATGGTTTTTAGTATTTAATCGTTTCGCTCATTCCGCCAGCCCGCACAGTGTCATCGTTGCCGCGTGTGCCCGTCTGGTCGTAGCGACAGGAAATGTGTTCGCGTGCTTGCGGCCAAGCCGACGGGAGATGTTTGGGAGGCACACGATGGTTTCACGGGCCATTCTTGAGGCCAAATTGGGTCGTGGACTAGATGCATCTTTGGGAGACTTCTGGGGTCTGTTTGGAGGCCTCTCGGGGACTTCTTTGAGGCAGTGGACCAGATGCCTCTTTGGGGCTCCTTGGCAACATTTGTGCGGCCTCCTGGGGCCTCGTTGGGGGCCTCTTGTGGCAGCTTGTTGGGCCTCCGAGGGCCTCTTGGGGGCCTGTGGCGGGCTCGGGCGCCATCTTTCGGGCCAGGCTCGACACGTGAGTTTGGGTTTCCTTCCCCTCCTGGGGGCCTCTGCAGCTCTCGTGGGAGGCCTCTCGGACGTCTTGGAGCCCTCTTTGGGCCATCCGGGGCCGTTCTGGGAGCCTCTTGGGCTGGCTCGGGCCGTTCTGGGAGCCTCTTGGGCTGACTTGGGGCGGTCTGGGCGGCATCCTGGCCCGTCCTGGGCGGTCGGAAACCCACAAAGGCGGCAACGCCCAAACCCATCTACATCCATCGAACACCTGATCAAAGTTCACGAGTTCTGCATCTTGGGGCCTTCTTCGGGCCGAATGGGAGCCTTCTTGGTCCGTCTTGGGCGCCCCCGGGCCGTCCTGAGGCCACCTCGGGCCGTCCTGGAGCGCGCTTGGCGCTTGAGGCCGCGGGCCTGCCGCCCACCCGGCACCTCCTGGAGGCGCACGGGGCCGCACCCGGGAGGCTCTGGCGCACTCTGGCGCCCGTGGCCCGGACCCTGCCGGGGCCTGCCTCGGGTCGAGGCGCAAGATCGGGGGCGGAAAAGAGGGGGGTGATGACGAGGGGGGGGTGGATATCATGGCGGGGGCCATGTTATTTCCCCAGATTTCATGGCGCCTCTTCTCGTTTCATTACGTCCCTGGCCCCCCCGCTGGGCCGCGCACATGCCGACGGTCATGATTTGCACCCCCCCCCTCTTGGACACCCCCCTCTTTGCCGCTCCCGACAAGAGGCTGGGAACCACTGCAAGCGTCGAGTCGGGCATGTCCCTCTGCAGGCGGGAGATTCGAAAGTGGTTTTAGGATTGGCCTGGCGGAAAGCCCAACCACTTGCAGCTGTGGGCACCGTCGTTGTATGCACCGCATTCGGGGGAGCTCCCTATGGGGCTACCAAACGTGTAAAGGGGTGTGCCAAAATGGGTGCGGTGTGTGCATGCGAACGCTGGCATGTGGGCCTTCGGTGGGGCTCCCTATGGGGCCACGAAACGTGTGAGGGGCGTGCCAAAGTGGGCGCGGTGGGCGCATGCGAACGCTGGCTGATGGGCTTTCGGTAGGACTCCCTGTGGGGTTCACGAAACGTGTGAAGGGTGTGCCAAAGTGGGTGCGGCAGGCGCGTGCGAACGCTGGCATTCGGGCCTTCGGTGGGGCTCCCTATGGGACCACGAAACGTGTGAAGGGCGTGCCAAAATGGGCGCGGTGGGCGCACGCGAACGCTGGCATTTGGGCCTTCGGTGGGGCTCCCTATGGGGCCACGAAGCGTGTGAGGGGCGTGCCAAAATGGATGGGTAATCAGGCGCGTGCGAACAATGGCATTTGGGCCTTCGGTGGGGTTTCCGGTAAGGCCACGAAGCGTGTGTGAAGGATGTGCCACAATGTTCGCGGTGGGCGCATGCGAACGTTGGCATTTGGGCCTTCGGTGGGGCTCCCGGTAAGGCCACGAAACGAGTGTGTGTGAAGGGTGTGCCAAAATGGGCGCGGTGGGCGCATGCGAACGCTGGCATTTGGGCCTTCGGTGGGGCTCCCTATGGGGCCACGAAATATGTGAAGGGCGTGCCAAAACGAGACGTGCGAACGCTGACATTTGGGCCTTCGGTAGGGCTCCCTGCAAGGCCACGAAACGAGTGAGGGGGGTGCCAAAATGGGCGCGGTGGGCGCATGCGACCGCCGGCATTTGGGCCTTCGGCTCCTTGTGGGGCCACGAAACGTGTGAGGGGTGTGCCACAATGGGTGCGGCAGGCGCATGCGCTCGCTGGCATTTGGGCCTTCGGAGGGGCTCCCTCCACGAAACGTGTGAGGGGCGTGCCAAAGTGGGCGCGGTGGGCGCATGCGAACGCTGGCATTTGGGCTTTCGGCAGGGCTCCCTGTGGGGCCACGAAACGTGTGAGGGGTGTGCCAAAGTCGGTGCGGGGGGCGCATGCGAACGCTGGCATTTGGGCCTTCGGTGGGGCTCCCTATGGGGCCACGAAACGTGTGAGGGGCGTGCCAACATGGGTGCGGTGGGCGCACGCAAACGCTGGCATTTGGGCCTTCGGTGGGGCTCCCTATGGGGCCACGAACCGTGTGAAGGGCGTGCCAAAATGGGTGAGGCGGGCGCATGCGAACGCTGGCATTCGGGCCTTCGGTGGGGCTCCCTGTGAGACCCCAGTATGTGTGAGGGGTGTGCCCAAATCGGTGCGGTGGGCTTCTGCGAACGCTGGCATTTGGGCCTTCGGTGGGGTCCCGTATGGGGCCACGAAGCGTGTGGTGTGTGTGTGTGTGTGCCAAAATGGTTGATTGGTTCTGAGGGCAGAGGCAGGGATCGGAGGAGGAAGGGGAGGGAGGAGGGGGAGGGAGGCGGAAGGAAGGAGGAAGGAGGGAGGAACGCGGGGCGCTGTCCTTTCAAAACGAGGACCCAACACCGCAGGATGGTTGGAGAAAATAGTCTGGGGACGAGTACTGGCTATTTGGGATAACTTTTGAGTCTTATTTTTTTGTCCCCCATATTTTTCTGCCAAAGCCCGCCTGCAGGAGGACATGCCCAACCTGATGCAAACGGGTATCAGCCAGAGCGCCAGATCTTGCAGGATCCTGCAGAGCCAGGGGTGCACTAACCCGCTCGGGCTTGGGCGCAGGATCCCGCAGGATCCTGCATGATTTTGCAGGATCCTGCAAGGCCCGACTGACCCGGGTCTGCATTGAAGCAGTTCAGTAGCCCCTGACCAGGTACTCGTCGTCCGGGGGGCCCCAGGGGGCGCCACGCGCGCGCGCGCGATCTGAAAATACATGAACATATCACCGTACATGTCAGGACGCCTCTGGCCCATCGGGCGGGCGAATTGTGGCAAATACGGTTTTGCTGCTCGGTACGAAAAGGGACCCAACTCGGCTACGCCAGGGTGTGGTTTGCGATCAGCACCGTTGGGATTTGGTCGGGCATGTCTCCCTACAGGCGGCTTCCGGGCGAAAAGTAATTAACCTGGCGAAAGACCCAACCATCCGCAGATGTGCATACCGCAATTGTGAATATCATCTTCGCCCACGCTCCCTATGTGGCCACGGCTTCCCGCCAGGGCCCGACATGTTCAGAGACACGTTCGCGGCCTTCTTCGCGGGCGCCGACGACGACGAGGACGGCGCCCCCCTGACCGAGGAGCAGAAGCAGGAGAGGGCTCTGAGAGCCCAGACGGAAGCTGCCACTGGCGCCTTCGGTGGAGCTCCCATGGGGCCACGACCTCGCGAGGGGTGTGCCGAAATGGCCCGAGGCCGCTATGCGAACCCTGCCGCTGGGGCCTTCGGTGGAGCTCCCTATGGGGCCACGTTCCTCGTGATCGGGTGTGCCGAAATGGCCCGAGGCCGCCATGCGAGCCCTGCACCGGCGCCTTCGGTGGAACTCCTACGGGGCCGCATCTTCGACAGGGGTGTGCCGCGCAGGCCCGAGGCTGCCATGCGACCCGCGCCACTGGCGCCTTCGGTGGGGCTCCTTATGGGGCCACGATCCTCGTGAGGGGCGCGCCCAAGTGGCCCGAGGCCGCCATGCGAGCCCTGCCACTGGGACCCTCTGTGGAGCTCAGCCACGATCCTCGCGAGGGGTGTGCCGAAATCGCCCGAGGGTGCCATGCGAAACCCTGCCACTGGGGCCTTCGGTGGAGCTCCCTATGGGGCCACGAAGCGTGCGAAAGGGTGTGCCAACACGGGGCGGGGATGCCGCGCGAGCTCTGCCACGGGGACCTTAGGTGGAGCTCCCTATGGGGCCACGAAGCGTGCGAAAGGGTGTACCAACACGGGGCGGGGATGCCGCGCGAGCTCTGCCACGGGGACCTTAGGTGGAGTTCCTTGTGGGGCCACGAAACGCGCGAGGGGTGTGCCAAAATGGGGCGGGGATACCATGCGAGTTCTGCCACTGGGCCAGTGGAGCGTAAGGTGGAGCTCCCCATGGGGCCACGAAGCGTGTGAAGGGTGTGCCAAAATGGGGCGGGGATGCCATGCGAGTTCCGCCACTGGGACCGTAGTTGGAGCTCCGTATGGGACCGCGAAACGCGTGAGGGGTGTGCTGACAGAGAGACACGCGGAGGGCAGAGGCGAGGAGGGGGAGGAGGGGAGGTAGCGGGAGGAGAAGGAAGGAGGACGTGGGCGTTTTCCTGTCAAAACGAGGAACCAACACCACAGGATGGTTGGGAAATTTAATCAAACATGTAAAAGCATGCTCAAAAATATTATTTGAAATAAGATCGTCCCCAAACTATTGCTTGACTATGTTTGAATGTTCCTCCTGTGGAAGGACAGGCCCGTCTTACCGTTGGGGCCTGAAGGGCACGACGCCGTCCTCGTCGGGCCTCCCCAGGGCGCGGCGGAGAGCTCCAGCGAAGCCCCCGCTCGCCCCCAGTGGCGCTTCGCGCGTCTCCACCACTTCCCCGAACGATTTCTCAAAGCGGAGGCCCCGGGCCTCGGCGCATGTGAGCATCGCATTCAAGGGCAAGCGGGACAAATGTCGTCAAGAGCATGGTGTTAAGCCGGGCGGGTCCTTTTACAAGAGGAATATTCAAAATTAGAAGTATTGTTTTGACAATGTTGGGGCATGTGTTGACCATTCGTTTATGTGTCGTCCAAAGTCCGCATGTATGGGGACATGCCCGACCTAACGCAAGCAGGATAATATCGTCAATAGCATGGTGCAAGACGGTGTTGGCAGCAGCCGGGTGACGTTCGACGCTACGCGGGGCAAGCCAAGTTCTTGAAGCGGCTTGAAGTTTTTGCGACGGCAGCATTGCGATTCCGTTGGAGGGGTTGCCTGAAGGGGCTGGTTCGCGCACCGGCTGCAGACGTCGGGGGTGGTTGGGACCTCGAACGGGCGCGGTTAGGCTCGAGCCGCCAAGCGCGCGTGATTCGTGAGCGGCAAAGATGGGCACAAAAGGCACTTGAGCGACACAAGAAAACGGGGCCTTCGTCGCCGACATTGGCTCTAAGCTCCCCGCGTGAGGTCGCAAGTAAGCGACCTCGTTTCCGATGGAGCGTGCCGCACTGGCGGCCCGCGTAAGCCGCGGCGCAAGGTACCTATGCCATCTCGCGTAAGGTTCACGTTGCCCACATCGTACTGAAGGACAACATCCCAGAAATAATGTCGAGCACCCACACAGACATCGAAACAGTGTCTGCCCGACGCTGGCGAAGTGTGGAACAACAATCGCCTCCCAGGGCCCAACACGTGAAAACCCGTAAGTCTCGGTATTATTCTTGGTGCTCGAATGTTCTCTCGGAGACGAAGGCAAACGTGGGTGGGAACACCACAACGTAAGACATGTTTCTTTTCGTCGCGCATTTCGGCGGCGAGCCCTGGGGGAAGTGAAAAGGGGCGGGGCTTCTCAGAAGGCTCGGAAGTGTCCCCCGGCCGTCTGAGAAGTTTTTTGAGCCTCCCCCCGAAGACGCGAGAAAAACTTCTTGGACGGCGCGAGGGCTTCTGAGAAGTCCCGCCGCCTTCTGAGAAGGCCCTCCTCCTCGGACGCCGAATGGCTTTTGGGGTCATACCTCGGGCCTCCGGCGGCCGTTCGCGGCGATCCGGGCACCCTTGGAGCGCCCTCGGCGAGGGCGCAGCTGCTGGCAAGCATCCCGAGGCTGGAGAGCCGGCGGGAGCCCACGACAAGGCCCGAGATCCTCGAGCCTCGAGCCCGAAACTCCCCCCCCCCTTCGCTCGTTTCCCCCCCCCCTCGCTTCGCTCGCCGGTCGCCCGGTTCTCGCCGCCCTGGGCGCGCCGAGCGCGGGGCGGCGCGCTGGGCGGCGGAAGAGCCACGCGCGCCATCAGCGGAGAGTCGGCTCCGCTGCGGTGCGCGTGCAGGAGGCCGCACGCGAGCCCTGCCCCCGCCAGCCCAGGACCTCTGAGGGGGGACAGTGGATGGACAATAGCTTCGAGCCCTTACACAGTCGAGGGAGATTCTAAATCACCCCCGCGCCCCCGACATCGATGTTGATCTCAGTGAAGGCAGCGCTTTGGGGTTCGAATAGTTCTGTCCACTCACGCCTCCCCCCCGTCGCCACGCCATCAATATTAATTTCGGGGGTTCTGGGGAGCATCTTGGGCCACAGGGTTCGAATGTAATGTCCATGTACGGGAGGTATCAGGAGGGAGAGAAACACACAGACACAATTCATCGCCGACTCCCAGGAAGATGTGGGAAACTATGGGAGGTGGGGGCGGAAACGAAGACTCAGGAGAGTTGGGAAGATATGGGGAGAGTCCTTTTGTTTGTGTCTATGTATTTGTGTGTGTCCCTGGGCCCCTTCAAGGTGGGGTCCACTTCTTTCGGGACCTCCCGAAAGAGGTGGACCCCACCTGCCCCCCCAGAAGCCGTGGGGTGGTGGGGGTGGGGTCCGCATGTGGCCTCCTGCACGCGCACAGCGGAGTCGACTCGCAGTGCTTTCACGAAGGGCAAGCACAGGAGGCGCCCGCGCTGGGGCCATCGCCCAGAGGAGGAGAGGGTGCCCATACTTTCCGCTACCCTTCCCTCGTTCTCCCTCGCCCTCGCCTCGCAACCGCTGGATTCGCCTCGAAAACCTGGGTCGGAACGCACCCCGAGAGAGGTCTCGGAACAGCGGAAAGGCCACGCGCACAGTTGAGTCGGCTCGTAGTTCTTTCACGAACCGCAAGCATAGGGCAGGGCTACAAGGGTCTAGTCCTCCCAAATGAGGTCGGAGTAGATAGGGGTCGAAGGACCGCACCGCTTCGTCGATGCATTGGCGATGCGGCTCGATGTGGATGAAACCCGATCGTCTCCATGCCGACGGCGCCGATGCATCGCCGACGTTGCCGATGCAGCGGCGATGTATCGGCGATGCAGCGCAATCCTCCGACCTCATGTACTCGGACCATTTGGGAGGCCTCTAGACAAGGATAAATCTGTTTCAGAGCATTCTTGAACGCTCTCAGAGCGTTCCGAATTTCTCTGAGAAGGCCGCGGCGCCCGAGACATCGTCTAGAGCTGCCGGATCTCAGAGATTCTCGATTTATCTTCACCCGATGTGATCCTCGAATTGGCTTCGTCTTAAAGCACAGAGGCGCCCGCGCTAGGGCCATCGCTTTATGCCGCATTGCGCGGCACAGCTGATACGATGCAACCTGCGGCCGGCCCCTCATCGCACGCGGCCCCTTGATCGCATTTCTCGGCTGCGTCTGATGCGGGGCGAGGCTGACCTGGCGCGCCAGGCCGCGACTGCTTCGACGCTGAAGTTGACACATGCTACGGCTCATTCCTCTGACCCTAAATGGAATCGTCAAGGACGGGGAGGAGGGGGAGCAGGAGCAGGAGGGGGAGCAGGAGAAGGAGGAGTGAGAGGAAAAGGAAGGGAGGAGGGAGGGAGGAGAAGGGATCAGGAGGGAGGAGGGAGGGAGGAGGGGGGGGGGGAGGGCGTGTGGAGGGAAGGATGGCGACAAGAGCTGGCACGCGCGGCATGCAGGCGCGAGGCGAAACGAGCGGCTGCGCGGGGGCACAGGCGCGCAGCGGGTGGCAGCGGGGGCACGAGTGCTCACGCATGGGTTCGGCAGGTCACGGAGGGCGCGCTGGCCCTCGACGCACCCCAGGACGGTTCCCGACGGCCCCCGCGCGGCGCAGACTCGTCCGAACCACTCGGGGGGGGGGGGGGGGGGGGCGCCCGTTGCTGGCCATTCGTGGGGCCCCGTCTGCGCCCCCCAGGCTCCGCCACTCTCCCCCGCCTCTGCCCCTCTCCGCCCTCTTGGCGCTCCTCTTGCCCCTCCCTGCCCCTTCGTCTCGTGTTGCTCTTCCTCTCCTCTCCACACTCCAGTCCTTCGGGTTGGTGGCCGTGGCCGTCTTCCTCGGCCATCGTCCCTTCTCAGTCTCCCCTCTTGCCCCTGTTCCCCCTCATCAATTTCCCCCCCCCCCGCCCGCCAGTCCTCATCCAGTCCTGCTCGTGCGCCCCCCTGCCTGCATCCCCCTCTTCATGTTTCCTACTGTCCCGCCTCACATCACACTCGCTTCGGCGCAAGGCTCGAGCAGCTGCAGAAGCAGCTGGACGAGCTCGAGGCAAAGCGGCAGCGCAAGAGGAGCCACAGGTCACTCCCTCTCTGTCTCTCCTTCTCCGTTCCCCTTCTGTCACCTCCTCCTCGTCCCCGGTCCTCCTACCCCACCTCCCCCTCGTTCCCGTTCCACCTCCATCTTCTTGCCGCCCAACGTACCTTCCCATTCTCCTCGGGAGCAGAAGGTGGCGTGGCGGGATGAGGATCAGCAGAAGCGGGGGAAGAGGAGCAGGAGGAGGAGGAGGAGGAGGAGCAGGAGCAGGGAGACGCCGCCGTGGCGGGAAAGGCAGAAAGGCAGGAGGAGCAGGAGGAGGAGGAGGAGGATGTGGACGACGACGACGACGACGACGACGACGACGACGACGACGATGACGATAGTGACGACGACGACGTCAAGAATTAATAAAACAAAGTGGATGCGGACGAGGTGGAGGGCGGGAGGAGAGAGGAGGGAGGAGAGAGAGAGAGGAAGGAGGAAGCATCGAGGGAGGGGGGAGCGGTGCGGGAGGACGAAGGACGGAGAAGGGAGGGAGGGCAGGAAGAAGGGATGAAGGAAATCTGCGTGCAGCTAAGAATTTCCCTCGTTCAGTATAGTCAGTCAGTCGGTCAAACCTGGCGCCCAATCGGCGCATTGGCAGATAAAGAATTGCGCGCGTGAGTTGCGTGAAGAGCGGAAGGAGCAGGAGGGAGGATGAAAAAGAGAAGGGGAGAGGAAGGAGGACGCCAAAACAATTAAAGCTGGTGCTCTGGCAAGAGCGCGTAGACACTGGAAGCCCACTGCTGTTTGGGTCTCCCTCTCTTTCTGCCCCCATAGCCTGGGCATATTTTGTGCCAGGCTCACGAACTTGAGGAGGTTATCTTTCGGGAGTGCCGAAATCTTCCTATACAGTTTCATTTGTCGATCGCGGAGCGTTTCGCTCACCGGATTGTTTTGCTAGAAGTTCCGGACACGTACACAGACGGGATTCTGAAAATACGTCGCAAGCATTCCTTGGAAGCGAAGTTTGGCCTATGACACACAAGGCAGAACATCAAATCACATGTGTGCAGCGGCGAATGCTTAGGCAAATGTTGGGAAGAAGACGGAAAGTGCTCCCCCCGGCACATCCTGATGCGCATTCTTCAGATACTAGCTACGCAGACATCGACAGCAACCCCATGTCAGGAAATGGGTCTGTGTCTTCAGACACTTACATGGCCGCGCGGTTGGAATCCTGGCCGGATTGTATCAAGAGAGCGACGCGCACTGCTGAAGACCAGTTACAAGCATTCAGTGTAGAATCTTGGGTATGACAACAGAGACGGCGTAAATGGCAGTGGGCATCATCGATGGGCTTCAATAGTAATGCAATGGGAGCCGACGCAACCTAGTAAGATTGCCTGTCGTTCGGCTGGCAGATCAAAAACAAGGTGTGGCAATGACATCCGGGACTACATGTTATCACAGGGCATTGGCTCTTCACGGCACGCGTGTGCGACACAAGAGGCTGTGTGGAACTCGTTCGAAGAAGGATTCGTAAAGAGGTGAGCCCCGCCAAACCGCGTGAGCCTGATCAGCACACGCCATCTCTCCCCCTCCTCCTTGTTCCTTCTACTGTGGTTTTGTAATGTCATGCCTGTCTGAACGCAGCTCTTTCTCTCTGTGTTGTTTTCCACATTGACGCGAAGCATTTTCCAGTGCACCAGGTTGCCGGGACTGCGTGTCCCATACGCCTGCCCTCTGAGAGGACCGCCCCGTAAGGGGCTGGAGCGCGGGTCGCATCGCATCGCAGCGCATCGTCGCAAGCATTGCGCGTGGAATTGTCTAAACGAGCTCTGTCCGCTTGCAATGCAAAAGACAGCTTCTAAGTTTTACAACCATTTGGGCAAGACAACTGCCTTGTACAATTGATGTTTGTTCGATCGCGGCAGGCATTCGCGTGCGACCAACAAGTAGGCAGAAAGAGCTTTAAAACAGATTTGGCCTCACCGATTCTCCGAGTACCTTCCAGTTTTGCGGAGCATTTCACGTTCACGAGTTCTCTGAGATACACCGCTTGGTGCACTATTTTCAGCGGGGCGCCGGTGGGAGAAAGCACAGTGCCAGTATGATGTGCCCGCATACATAAAGTGTTATCTCAGTTCAACTCTAACACATGTCTCGCACCTTCGTCGATGACCGCATGAGTAATATCGGACATGTCCCCGATTCACTGCTGAGTAGCATCGTGCCGTCAGCTTATAAAAGGTCACTGCATGTCGTTCACAATATATACATGTATATATGTGTGTGTTGGTGTTGGGTATTGGGTATTGGGTGTTGGGTGTTGGGTGTTGGGTGTTGGGTGTTGCATGTTGGGTTTTGGGTGTTGGGTGTTGGGTGTTGGGTGTTGGGTGTTGGGTGTTGTGTGTTGTGTATTGTGCGTTGTGTGTTGTGTGTTGTGTGTTGTGTGTTGTGTGCTGTGTGTTGTGTGTTGTGTGTTGTGTGTTGTGTGTTGTGTCGTGTGTGGTGTGTGGTGTGTGGTGTGTGGTGTGTGGTGTGTGGTGTGTGGTGTGTGGTGTGTGGTGTGTGGTGTGTGGTGTGTGTTGTGTGTTGTGTGTTGTGTGTTGTGTGTTGTGTGTTGTGTGTTGTGTGTTGTGTGTTGTGTGTTGTGTGTTGTGTGTTGTGTGTGTGTGTTTGTGTGTTTGTGTGTGTGTGTTGCACCCCGCAGTTGCAGATAAAGAGTGGGGGGGCGGGGGGGTCGCGGTGTGGGTCGCGGGCGGGTCGCGGAATGGTCGCAGGGTGGATCGCGGGGTGGGTCGCGGGCGGGTCGCGGGTGGGACGCCTGGTGGATCATGGGCGGGTCGCGGGTGGGTCTCGGGTGGGTCGCGGGCGGGTCGCGGGTGTGTCGCGGGCCGGGTCGCGAGTGGGCCGAAGACAACAACAACAGGATCAACGACAATCATTTTACGATTGCTCATTCTTATTTGCTCGCGTGGCCAGTAAACACGTATATCCAAAACCATCGATGCCCGCCTTCTTCGTCTTCGATGGTGTCCCATTGGGATATTACGGACTTGCCACGTGTAATTGGCGCAGCCCCAAAGACAAGGGAAGAGGACGGATGGACAGAGGAGGAGCAGGATGGAGCACGAGGGAGATCAGTGGGAGGGGGGCTGGGAGCAGGAAATACGTGGCAGAACCAGACTGGCAGATCGGGCGAGAAGAAATTACCCGCCCGATTTAACTCTACCTGATGACCGACGGCAAGATAGTGCTAGTCGATGAAGGGGCCGAGGTCGATCAGAGAAAGGATGCTCCAGGACTTTCAATGACAGACCCCAGTCGGCGTTTCCTCTAGAGTGCGCGGGGACTATGATGATGCCGTGGCGTGAACTCTTGAACCTGGATCCGGACGGCACCCAGGTGGTTGTCCTTGGTTGTGGTGGTAATGTTCCCTCCTCTCTCCACTTTTCTCCTGTATCTAATATCTTCCAATAGCGTATCATTATGTTCTGCTCAATTATCATTGCTCTCAGGCTTGATGGGTCAGGCCTGTGCTACTTACTATGCACAGAATCGAAAACCCTTGTTTCCCAGGTTGCGATCCCAACCTGTTTGACGGCAGCTCAAAGTAAAGAAGGTCGGACGTATGCTTCGGAAGTCTTGATTGTCCTCTGCAGGTGTAACTGCCAGAGAGATTTCCCATGGACCCTGAAAGGCAGGGCCATGTGCATTCGTTTCCGTATCCGATGTGGTTCCAGGCGAACGCATCTGTTTGCTGTTGTTGAACATTATTACTTCTAAAGAATAATTATTGTTGGGACCCCTGGTGCACGACCCCCCCGCCGCGCCTAGGCCGCAGCCTCATTTTCATCATTTTCGTGAGGAAGTCTCAGGCAAAACGGGGGAGTCCGGATCCGGTTGTGTTGTTACGATCGGTTTTCCCTTGCAAAAAATAAGCTAAAGTGGACATTTCTTGTTCTAACATAACCAAACTTCAAGAATCCCTTGCAAAAAATAAGGTAAAGTGGACATTCGCGCGCGCAAGACGAAATCCTTCCAAAACCTTAGTTTTCGTAGCGATTTTAACATAAAAACATCAAAAAACCAATGGTTTTTCAAAAAAAAAAATGTCAAAATTCATCCCGCGCGCTCTTGCGGATTCGTAGGAAACCCAACACTTTTTAAATATTTCTGTCAAACGGGCTTTTGCGAGCAACTTTTTCGAACTTCTGCAACAACGGTTGCGCACCTGCCAGGGCCATCATCCCTGTCAAATAATACCATGCGGGACACATTCGTTTTTTCTTCGCGCGCGCACGCCGTCGTCGTCGGCCGCGGGGCCCTGAATAGTAGCCACGGTCGTCCGCATGCCACGAAGTGAAGTGTCCGAACGTCATAGGGCGGGAAGCTGGGTGTGGGTGGTGGCGAAGAGTCGTTTGGAAATTTGGTAGAGCTTGAACCGGCCCCCCCACAAAGTGGGGGTATTGCCCGCCTCCTATGAAAACCCTGGCACTGGTGAGAACGGAGTGTCCCCACGTGCTAGTAATTGTTGTTGTTGTTGTTGTTGTTGTTGTTGTTGTTGTTGTTGTTGTTGTTGTTGAACCTTAATTACTAAACAATTATTATTGTTGGACCCCCTATATTCGCCCTGGCGCTCTCGCCGAGGCGCCGGCCGCATTTCCTCTGAAATTGAGGCTCACGCTCAGGCGTTTTGGGGTTCCGCCAAAACCGGCCCCCCAACAACAACAACGCTCCGGCTCGAGACTTCCTCCTTTTTTACTCGGGCTCGGTGCTCTTGCTCGCCGCCGAGAGCGGTTCCCGGGCCGGACGCCCGGGTCGGCGCCCGAGCCGGCGCCCGGGCGCCGGAAAATCGAGTTCCGAGGCGGCGCCGAAAAAAGGCCATTCCAATACACATTTTTCTTTCGAAAATGCTGAGTTTCTGCTTCCGGCGCCCGGGGCGGGGCCGATTCCGGAGCTCGGGCCGGCACCCGGCCCGGCTCCCGGGCCGGACGCCAAAATCGAGTTTCGAAGCGGCGCCGAAAAAATGCCATTTCAATACGCATTTTTTTTGAAAGTGCTGAATTTCTGCTTCCGGCGCCCGGGAGGCCGTCCGACCGATTCGGGAGCCTGGGCCGGCACCCGGCCCGGCTCCCGGGCCGGACGCGCGGGTCGGCGCCCGAGCCGGCGCCCGAGCGCCGGAAAATCGAGTTCCGAGGCGGCGCCGGAAAAAAACCATTCCAATACACATTTTTCTTTCGAAAATGCTGAATTTCTGCTTCCGGCGCCCGGGAGGCCGTCCGGGCCGTTTCCGGAGCTCGGGCCGGCACCCGGCCCGGCTCCCGGGCCGGACGCTTTGTTCTTTGAAAATGCTGACTTTCTGCTTCCGGCGCCCGAGAGGCCGTCCGGGCCGATTCCGGAGCTCGGGCCGGCACCCGGCCCGGCTCCCGGGCCGGACGCCTGGGTCGGCGCCCAAGCCGGCGCTCAGGCGCCGGAAAATCGAGTTCCGAGGCGGCGCCGAAAAAACGCCATTCCAATACACATTTTTCTTTCGAAAATGCTGAATTTCTGCTTCCGGCGCCCGAGAGGCCGTCCGTGCCGATTCTAGAACTCGGGCCGGCACCCGGCTCGGCTCCCGGGCCGGACGCCCGGGTCGGCGCCCGAGCCGACGCCCGGGCGCCGGAAAATCGAGTTCCGAGGCGGCGCCGAAAAAACGCCATTCCAATACACATTTTTTCGAAAATGCTGAATTTCTGCTTCCGGCGCCCGGGAAGCCGTCCGGGCCGATTCCGGAGCTCGGGCCGGCACCCGGCCCGGCTCCCGGGCCGGACGCCCGGGTCGGCGCCCGAGCCGCCCAGGCGCTGGAAAATCGACTTCCGAGGCGGCGCCGAAAAAAGACCATTCCAATACACATTTTTCTTTTGAAAATGCTGAATTTCTGCTTCCGGCGCCCGGGAGGCCGTCCGGGCCGATTTCGGAGCTCGGGCCGGCACCCGGCCCGGCCGGCACCCGGCCCGGCTCCCGGGCCGGACGCCCGGGCAGTTCCGATCGCGCCGAAAAGAGGCCATTCCAATACACATTTTTCTTTCGAAAATGCTGAATTTCTGCTTGCGGCGCCCGGGAAGCCGTCTTGGGCCGATTCTGGAGCGGCTTTGGGCCGGACGCCCGAGCCGGCGCCCGTACGTGGTGCTTCTCTGCTTCGGGCGCCTGCGCAGCTTCCCGAGCCGTTTCTGGAACCATATCTGGGCCGTTCCAGCGATAGGTTTCCTGGATGCGCTGAACCATCCAACTTTTTGAGACTTTTGCGTCTCAAGGATAGGGAGAGAAGACATTAAAGGAGGATCAAAAAGCAACGTCGCTATGAACGCTTGGCTGCCACAAGCCAGTTCTACTTACTTGGACTACTACTACCGTTACCACTACTACTAATGCTACAGCCGCAACAACAATATCATCAACTGCTGCTACTACAACTACTCATCCTTCCTCCCCCTCCTCCCCCTCCCTTCTCCTCCTCCCCCTCCCTATCTCTCTCATCTCCCCCTCCTCTTCCTCTTCCTCTCCCTCTGAGATGCGGGGCATGCGCAAGGCGATTGCGAAGGCGATGTGCCGTCCGAGCTATGGATGTTGAAGTTCCTCGGAAGAGGTGGTGGCCAAACCTTTTTGGGCGGGATATCTGGGTGAGAGAATATCGGATCCCGCATGCCAGAAAAATCCCCCATGATGGGGTGTGTTATCCAGATGGATGCATGTGTCATGTGGAAGCATGGCGCATGAGGGTAAAATGATTGTTGTTGTTGTTGTTGCTGCTGCGTTGGTGCCTCGTGGGGTCCCCTGGGGGCCGCCTGGCCGTCGCCGCCCGTCGCCGCTCGTGGTCGCCTCGTGGGCGCCCCGTGCTCTGTGTGGGTGCTTCGGGGTTCCCCCACGCTGCCGCACGGCGCGGCTCGTGGGCGGCCCGTGGGCGCCCCGTGTGCTGGATGATGGGGCTCCTCGGCCTCTCGCAGCGTTGCCACCCGTCGCCGCACGTGGCCGCCTCGCTGCCCCCCCGCCACGTGTGTGCCGTCGGGGTCTGCCGAGGCGTCGCCGCGCTGCCGCCCGCGGGCGCCTCCTCGGCGCCTCGCGGGCGCCTCGGCTGCTGGACACGCGTGCGGCGAGGCTGTGCTTCGTTGCCGCCCCCGTCGGCGCTCGTGGTCGCCTCGTGGGCGCCCCGCGTGCCGGACGGGGCTGTCGAGGTTCCACCTCGTGGGCGGCGTGCGGCCGGCGGTGGGCGCCCTGCGGGCGCCCCGTGTGCTGTTTGGCCCGGTGGGCCGGTGGTGGGCGCCTCGTGGGCGCCCCGTGCGCTGAGCGCACCGCACAGCTCGCTCGCGCCACGCAGCTTGCACCACATCGCTCGCGCCTCACAGCTTGCACCATGTCGCCTGCACCGCACAGACTGCACCACGCATGCTACGCCACATCGCTCACACGTCCAGAGTGGAATCATTCAGTGGTGGGGGTCCGCGCTAACACGTGTGTGTGTGTGTGCAAAATGCTGGGAACATATAAACGGTGTGGTCACGCTAGCTTGACTGCGAGTGGATGTGCACCACGAGTTGCCCGCCTCCCACGGGCTTGGTGGCGTGCGCTTTCCTCCTGCCCCCAACGTAGGTCAGGGGCAACTATAGGGAGGGAGTAGGCATAGGGGGGATGCATCGACCCCCAATCTCAGGCGATCGCAAACGTGGATTAAGCGGACGTGGATTAGCGACGGGTCCCGTTTCCATGGGAAATCGCGGAATTCAGCCGCCGAACGAGGCGGCGCCGGCCGCATTTTGGGGAGGGCACCTCCCCCGATCCATGGATTTGGCGACCGCGCGCCAAATCCATGGATCGCTGATCCGTGTTTGCGCGCCCCCGACAAGCGCTCACTGATCGCCAGGAGGGGTCTGATAGCCCCAACCCGCCCAGGAAGGCGCGGATTCACTATCGGGGGCCTATCGTCGACCTATCGGCGGTGTGTCGCCGATTCCAGTCCAGGTCGATGCCAGTCCCCCCGATGCCAGTCCCCTCCTATCGTTGCCCCTCGTAGGGTGGCAGTGAAACTAACAGCCTGCGGGCGCTCATTCGGGTTTGGGCGCGTCAGTCGGCAAAGCCTGCGGCGGTCTTCGCCGCACCTGATTCCAGTCAGGAGGGACAAAAAAACACAGACACAATTAATCGTCGGTTCCCCAGAAAATATGGGAACATATGGGAAGTGGGGGGGAAGACAAAAACCCCGAAAATATGGGAAAACATAGGGAATCCTTTCATTTGTGTGTACTTATTTGTGTGTCCCAGCGCTCTTCGCGTCCTCCCTTCTCTCCCCTTTCCCTGTGCGTTTTTTTCCCCGTGCCTGCCTTCCTGCCGACCCCCTTTTTTTGAGCAGGGACCGACCGTCCTGGCATCCCTATACGCCTACCACGACGTGCTCCTCGAACCCAAAAATGCTCCAATAAAAAAGCACGGGTCTTAGAGCATGAAGCCCGATGTGTCAGCACAAGACGGTCTCGGCCCAGAAGTGCTCTCCGAACATGTCTTGCAGACCGCAGAGGGAGAGCGAGTCTCTGGTGGGCCTCTGCCACCGAGCGCGGCCCCACTACTCGCAAAGTGCCTGCTCGCAAACGTCCCAAAAAGCGCATGTCTGCTCTGCTGCAATGGATCGTAGATCCCCCGCGGGGGATCCAGGCCACGTGCGAGCAGTTACTCTGCGAGTCGTGGAACGCGCTCGTCCACCATAGGCAAAGCCAGGACGCTCCGCCGCTGCTCGACCCCTGCCGCGAGGAAAGGCGGAGGCAAGGCCGACCGGCGGCAGGGCGGCCCCGACGACCCGCCGGGCGGCGCGGAGGCCGGGCTGGCCCCCGAAGGCCGCGCCTCCCCCCGCGTACCCTTCGGATGGGGGGGGCAGCGGGGCGCTTCGAGGGCGGGGTCCTCCCTCCTCCCTCCTCTCCTCCTCTTCTCTTCTTCTCTTCTTCTCCTCCTCCTCCTCCTCCTTCTCCTCTTCCTCCTCCTCCTCCTCCTCCTCCTCCTCCTCCTCCTCCTCCTCCTCCTCCTCCCAGTGGACGCCCATGGCGACACTCGACGAAGGAGAAACAGAAAGAACACGCCACAAGCACCGCAAAGTCATCGAAGTCCGAGAAACCCAGGGTGCCCTGGGTTTCTCGGATTTCGATGACTTTGCGATGGGAAGGGTGGTGCTCCCAGACCAGAAATCAATGGACGTCCTGGGGTCTCAGGGTTGGGTTTCTTGTGGAAGGTTTCTCGTGGTCGAGCTCCTACTGTAGAGGATCAGGGGCCCCAAGGATACACTGGATGGGGTATTCATCAAGGGGGGGATAAATCTTCCGACTGAGCTTGCCCAATCCCGCCCCCTCCATCTTCCTCCTCCTCCTCCTCCTCCTCCTCCTCCTCCTCGTCCTCCAGCCCCCCCTCCACCAGTGCCGACAGCACTTGCCCCCCTCCCATCGGATTCAAGGGGGGGGGCGATTATTGTCCCATGCAGAGACGGGCGTCATGGCCCCCGCTCCCCCCCCCCCTATGGCGTAACGCTCCCCCCCAGTGTGCTCCAGGCACTTCCGCCGTGCGCATTGGGATCCGCGTAGGTGTCTGCGTAGGAATCCGCATAGGAGTCTGGTCCGCAGTCGTCGTCGTCGTCGTCGTCGCCCGTGGCTTGTCGCTCGTCGCTCATAGTCGTCGTGCGCGCGGACGCGGCTGAAGCCTGTTTTTTATTCTGGGCCGACGGCGGCAATCATCAGGGGGGGGTGGAGGGGGTCGATGACGTCACGTTTCGCGCCGGCGGACAATAATCATTATGGACAACGGAGCGCCGCTGAAATCTACGAGTCCCCCCGAGTCCGCCCGCATCACCCTAATTCCTCCCATCTGCGTCCAGGAGGCTCCAGGTAAATTCGCCGTCCGAGAACTAAGTGGACCGATTCAATGGACCATTGTGCGGTGCGCGCGGAGTTGCGCACATGGGCTGTAGCGCCAACCCGCACGACAGGGGGTAAGGAGGAGGAGGAGGAGGAGGAGGAGGAGGAGGAGGAGGAGGAGGAGGAGGAGGAGGAGGAGGAGGAGGAGGAGTAGGAGTAGGAGTAGGAGGAGGTGGAGGAGGTGGAGGAGGAGGGAGCAGGGAAGAACGTCGCACTCGATTATCAGCATTTTGCTGGCGTGGCGTCTAGTTTTCCGCAGCAGATCCTCACGTACATGTTCCTTCTACCTGTCCTATGCACGCAGGCATTGTGGTGTACACCAGCGCTGCGTTGCACGCGGATGTTGTGGTGTAGACACTCACTGTGGCGTGCACAGGCGCTGCGGTGCACGCAAACACTATGGTGTACACAGGCGTTGTGTTGCACATGGTTGCTGCGGTGTACTCTTGTACACCGGCGCTGTAGTGTACGCAAGCACTGTGGTGTACACAGGCGCTGCGTTGCGCACGGTTGTTGCGGGGTGCGTATACACGCGCGCGCAGTGTGGTATACGCGCGCGCTGTGGTATACAGCGTTGTGGCGTACACAGGCGCAGTGGGGCAGATCGCCACCTACATGCTGCTCGCGTTGTCGTCGTCGTCGTCGTCGTCGTCTCTCGTCGCTCGTCGCTCGTCGCGTCGCGCGCGCGGGCGCGGCTGCGGTGCTGGAGCCACACGGCGGGGGGGGCGTTACGTCATACCCCCTTCGCCCCCCCCCCCCCCCCCCTGACGCCCGTCATCGCCGAACATAAAGAAACGCTCTCGTGGAATGTGCACGGTTCAGGGCCTCCTCGCCCCACGGCCCCGTGTCTCATTCCCCCCATCTTCCGAGCGCCGACACCAGCAGGAGGTGGAAGAGGAGGAGGTGGAGGTGGAGGAGATTGGCTTGGAGCGGTGGCGAAGTGACCCAGACCGCCCTCAGACGGAATGAGCAGCAGCAGGCTTAGCGGTAGCCGGACACCTCCTTCCAAACAGATGTTCCCGTCCCTACACAAGGAGATGGAGGGAGGAGGAGGAGGAGGAGGAGGAGGAGGAGGAGGAGGAGGAGGAGGAGAGGAGGAGGAGGAGGGAGGATGAGGAGGAGGAGAGGAGGAGGAGGAGGAGGAGGAGGAGGAGGAGGAGGAGGAGGAGGAGGAGGAGGAGGAGGAGGAGGAGGAGGAGGAGGAGGAGGAGGAGGAGGAGGAGGAGGAGGAGGAGGAGAGGAGGAGGAGGAGGAGGAGGAGGGGCGGAGGAGGGGAGGAGGGAGGAGGAGGAGGAGGAGGAGGAGGGAGGAGGAGGAGGAGGAGGAGGAGGCGGAGGAGGAGGAGGAGGAGGAGGAGGAGGAGGAGGAGGAGGAGGAGAGTGAGGAGGAGGAGGAGGAGGAGGAGGAGGAGGAGAGGAGGGGAGGAGGAGGGAGGGGGAGGGGGAGGGGAGGGGGGGGGGAGGGGGAGGGGGAGGGGGGAGGGGGAGGGGAGGGAGGAGGAGGAGGAGGAGGAGGAGGATGGGGAGGAAGAGACGAAGGACAAGCTAGGTGCGCGCGCCACATCTAATATCTGACTCTTCCCTCACTCCCCGTTGCGCGGATGTTCCTCTACCCGCCAACGGGCGTCTTGGCGGACCTGGACTCACAGGTGACCCCATCGTGCGATGTGCAATCAGAAAGGGGAGCTGCGCATATTGGAGGATGGGGGGGAGGAGTGAGGAGGAGGAGGAGGAAGAGGAGGAGGAGGACGAGGAGGAGGACGAGGAGGAGGAGGCAGTGGATGAGCAGGCGGGTGAGCAGGAGGAAAAGGAGGAGGATGGGGAAGGAGAAGGAGCTGCGGGACCAGGAGGACCAGGGTAAGGTGGAGGAGGCAGTAGCAGGGGGCCAGAAATCTGGCCCGCGCTGGGGCCACAGCGCCGCTCTTGGCGACGGGAGGAGATCCTGGTCAGAGCGCCCTCCAGGACAGGTCTGGGGCGAAGCGGCATCGGTATGTCTTGGCTTCCCCAGAGGATGAAGGAGGAGGAGGCGGGAGAGGAAAAGAAGGGAGAGTGAGGAGAAGCAGGAGGAGGAGGAGGAGGAGAGGAGAGATGGGGGAGGGGGATGAGGAGGAGGTGAGCGAAGGGAAAGAGGAGGAGGACATCCAGAATGAACCCAGGATGCAGCACCCACTCTGTAGCACACCCTCCTGCACCGAGCACCCTGCCCATAGTCCCTACAGGCATTCCGTTTCACCGTCGGAGCATCATTTTTATGTACGACCGCCACACGGGGGACCTGGCATTCAGGCGAGATTTGTTGGAGCGAAACGATAGGACCAGAACGGTCAAGGAAGTGCATACACCCGCCCATCGGTGTAACTACTTGAGAAGTTCACACGTCTGGCCGTAAAGCTAGAGGACGCATTAATCGACAGCGTCAGTTTAAAGAGGAGCGCCCTCCATCCGTGCAAATCGTACACACCTCACATGTCGGGTCGTAACTGCGAGGGCGTCCCAAGAGGAATCACCTGGTTGAAAAGGAACAGACTTCCATAGTTGGATCTGCCTTACAGTGTTACACTGCAGGACTGTTTTTCTCTGAAGAAGCCACCCCGCTGTATAAAGAATTACCATCTACATGTCGGATTATTGGAACAGTTTACGGGACAACCAGCCACATTTAAGAACGCGTCGCCATCCGCCATTGGAACCATGTTCAGGACAAGTGCGCGCGGCGCTAAGGCGAGAGACATGAGTGTGATAAGTACTCGCCCTCCATGCTTGTAAGTGTTCGGGATTGCCAGTTCTGGAATCAGAAATGATGAGGATGCCTCAAGCAAAACTCCAGTTCCGCCCTATCTACGCTCCTCGCTGTGCGACCAGGAGGAGTTATCTGTTTGTTTTCGGGACTGTTCATCCGTTGTGGACCAGAGGTCCTTTAGATGTCTCTTGGGAGGTTTCTTGCAGGCCTGTCAAGAGACTCCTGGGGGTTCTCATGAAGACCGCTTGGGGCCCTCCTGTGGCCTCTTCGGGGCCTCTTCATGCTTCCCTAGAGTGCGTGGAAGCCGCATTCTGGCGACATTCATTCTCTTGAGACCGAAAAAGCGTGTAGGCTAAACGCAATGAGAAAGGCAAGATGCTTCAATGATCCCAGCCTCTTGGGACAGTTCCCAGAGCTTCCAAGACTTCCCAAGAGACGTCCAAGAGGGCTCCATGACGGGCCAGGAACCACCTTACAGATTCGAACCTCAGCCACGGCTCCGATACCTCCAGAAAAGACGCGACAAGCCCCAGAAGCGCTCGGAAACGCATGGGAATTTCAGGCACGGTGGCAGATTTTACAAGGAAGAGGGAAGGGGGATGGGGAGGATGGCTTGGGGGGGGCAGGAGAAGGAGGAGATGGAGGAGAATATGCAGATCAGACGTTTCAAGGGAGTCTAGGGCGCTAAGAATGCTGTAGAGTCTCGGGGCGGGGATTGGGTGCCCTGGGACGAGCGAGTGGGGGGGGCGGAGCACGAAAAAGGTAATACTGGATGAGGCCCTCGAGCGGGGGAGCAGCGAGAAGAGGGCATTGAGCGGGTTAGAGAGGGGGCGTCCGATCGGATTCTTTTGAAGTCCGTGTTCTGGTGTTGTCGTCGTTGCTCGATGTCAGGAAGCAGCGCCGGCATCAGGCATACCTCGAGGATCCGCTTGAGGCCTCGTATGGGGTCCTTCGGGAGCCTCTTGGAGGCCTCCTGAGGCCGTCTGGGCGCCTCTTGGGGCCCTCGTGGGGCGCTCGTGGGAGCTTCAGGAGCGCTCTTAGGGCCAAGAGGGCATCGATCGAAACAGAGGGGAGCTTCACTTAGCCTCCCCCCTCGGGAGCACCGAGCATCGCCTCCTGCACCCCTCTTGGAGCGCTCTTTGGGCAGTCTTGGGGCTCGTTTGGGCCTATCCTGGGGCTCTCGTGGGTCATCTTGGAGCCATCTTGAGGCCTCGGATGGCCATCAGAAGCGAAAAGGCGAGACAGCAACACGCATTGATTTTCTGCAGGTGGTTGAAGGATTTGGGCGTCTTGGGGGCCTCCTTGGAGGTCTCGGAGGTATCTTGGAGCCGTTTTGAAACGTTATTGGGGCCTCTTTGAGCATCTTTGAGGCCATCTTGAGGCATCGTGCGTTATCTTGAGCCATCTTGGAGACCATCTGGGACTATCAGGGGCCCTCGTGGAGCCGTCTTGGGCCATCTTGGACGCTCCAACGCATCGCAGTCCCCACCGTCCAGGTCCAGAGGAGGGGGTTCGGGGGAGGGGTAAACCCCTCCCCGAAGGAAGAAGAATGGGGTTGGAAAAGGAAGCGCCCTAGACCACCTACGCCCAGAGGGCTGGTGGGATTTGTCCAGTAAGCTCCTCCGAGAGGGAGGTGGGGGGGGAGGGGACGGAGCAGGCGGAGAGCTAGGGGACCCAGAAGGGGCCAGAAATACCTGGGCGGGAGGGAGGGGGGCAGGAGTGAGAGAGGGAGGAGTGAGGAGGAGGAGGAGGAGGAGGAGGAGGAGGAGGAGGAGAAGGAGGAGGACGACGACGACAATGATTGAGGATCGAGGTGTTTGCAGCGTGGTTGAATTGTTTTTGCTCCAGAGCATTCAGAAGCCACTTTAGACCGTTGGAGGCCTTAGGGTGAGGAGGAGGAGGAGGAGGAGGAGGAGGAGGAGGAGGGGGAGGAGGAGGAGGAGGAGGAGGCGGAGGAGGAGGAGGGAGGGGCAGGTGGCGGAGTGTTGCAGCTGTTTCGGGAGGGGGGGAATTGGGGGATTCTAGGGGAGGAGGTGGGAGTGGGAGTGCGAGTGGGAGGGAGGAAACGGAGTGTTTTACGCGTTCGTTGGTTGGGTAGTCGGGGTCTGTGTGATTCTAGCATGGCCCTCTCTTCGCACGCCGGACCTTACCGTCACATGGGTCCTCCTTGGACGTCGGATCTCTCCCCAAGGAAGTTTGTTCATCCTGCGACCGAGGCCAGGAAGCGACCTCCAGGGGCCGAGAACGTCGAGAGGCCGCTCGACACTCTTTATGCTGCGGCGCCCAGATCTGAGGTGAGGGAGGAGGCAGGAGGAGGGAGGAGAGAGGGAGGGAGGCAGAGAGCAGGAGGAGGAGGAGGCAGGAGGCAAGAGGGAGGAGGCAGGAGAAGGGAGGGAGGGAGGAGGGGCCTCACCGATCCTGGTGAGAGACGGGCCCCGTGGTCGAAGAAGCACTACCCTTCCCTAGAGGGATGGGGGCGAGGACACGAGGATGAGGCTGAGGTGGAGGGAGGAGGAGGAGGAGGAGGAGGAGGAGGAGGAAGAAGAGGAAGAGGGATGGAGGAGGAGGAGGAGGAGGAGGAGGAGGAGGAGGAGGAAGAGGGATGGAGGAGGGATGGAGGAGGGGGGATGGCGGAGAAGTCGGCAGGGGAGGGGGCACCGCGGCGAGGCGAGAGCCTCATCGAGTTCGGCGAGAACGGGGCCCCGCGGCCGAAGAAGCACTACTCCTTCCTGGAGGAGCCCGCGCTCGGGAGCTGTCTCCCGCCCCCCTCTGTCGCGCCGGGGGCCCTGCGCCGGCAGGCCCTCCGACACGGGCCGCGCGACGGCAGGCCCCGTCCCGGCGGTCGGCTCCGGACACCACCCGAGGAAGCACAGGCCGTGGAGGTCTGGCGGCCGGTGCCGCTGACCCCGAGGGACGACGGCGACGACCGCGAGGACGACGACAGCGACGAGCTGGTGACCCTGCCACAGGCTCAGGGACAATGGGGCGGGCGGTGGAGGGAGGAGGGGGAGGAGGCGGAGGAGGAGGAGGATGAAGGGGACTGGGTCGGCGGGCTTGTGCGGCCGCCAGCGCGGGCTGCGCTCAGAGTGCTCGGCCGAGGGGCATCGCGGCACAGGCATCGTTCTGCTACAACGGGGCGCGACCAACAGTTTTCAGCGGCCCGCGCGCAACTCGTTCGCCGGCTGCGCGACGCGGTGGAAGTCTACAAGTGGTGCTGCCCGAGGAAGTTGGGCGGTCGATTACCACTGAAAAGAAAAGGTCGTTGTCCCCCAACGTAATCAACGCCAGTGGGCTGGACTTCGACTGAGGAGCGCGGAAGGAGGGCAACACCGATGCCATCATGCTTGTCTTACCGATGGCGTCTGCAGAGCTCCGTTGGATGTGTCTTCGAGAATGGTGGGGCCTGTCGGGGGCCTCTTGGATGGTGACCTATAGAGCGTGTGCTCAAGACTCTTTGGGTGCGCATTGAGGCGACAGCAGGCCGCATTTGCAGCCTTTTTATGGCCTGTCTGGGCGGTCGTGAACGCCTCGGACAGCGCCAGGGAGGCGTCGGGGCGTCCAGAAACCCTCGGGCGGTCCATGCGGCATTCTGCCACGCCTCAACGAGCCAAGGGGCACGGCGGCTTACCTTCGATCCATCCTAAATGTCTCCTCCCTCCGCCTCCTACCCTTCTTCCTCCCCCTCCCTCCTCCTCCTCCTCCTCCTCCTCCTCCTCCTACTCCTCCTCCTCCTCCTCCTCCTCCTCCTCTTCCCCCATTCCTTTTCCTTATGGGGAACTGCCTGTCGCACCCCGAGGCCGACCGAAAGATCGGGCCGGGCGTTTCGCCTGAGACTTTCTCACCATTATGGCCCTGATGCGTATAACGTGTACATTCACAGAGTTTCACAAGTGGAGGGCGCGCAGTCGCTTTAAAGAAACACAAGACTTTCACGGATTTAGGGCAGGTCGTTTTTACAATGTGGTTCCGTTTATTGCCGCGCATGTTCGTCATCAAATGTCGCAAGAATTTTACGGATTGAGGGCGGGTCGTTTTCAAAATGTGGTTCTCCCTTTAACGCCGCGCACATGTGTTGTTTCAACCTTTGCACGGGGTTCATTGGTTCGCATGGTTAACGTACCAGAAATTGTGTTTAGAGCGATTAAGGACGGCCGGGGCGCAACATATTACGTTCATTCAAGAGTGTTGAAGTCCAGGAATGGTCTTCTGATGCGATTCAGGATCGCCAAGAAGTAACAGTCATATTAATTCGTGGCGTTGAAGTCTTGAGAACGGTGTTTTCGCACGCCTCGAGGTGTTCACACGGTTGTCCCCTTACGGGGCAATTCTTTCAGTGGAAGTGACCTCGTTGTAGGCGTTAGTGAATAGGGATCTTGGAGGGAGGTTGTATTCCAACCTCGTTGATGAGTCTTGGTTTTGCACTGGTCCTCCTCCTCATCCTCATCCTCATCCTCCTCCCTCTCGTGGGTTCCAGCCAGCCGTGGCCACGCTGGCAGATCCAGACGTTGGTCACGATGGCGTCCCAGGAGACCGAACAAAGGCTTGAGGAGGCCGCAGAACGCTTGGGCAGTTCGATCATCTATGTTATCACTCCTCCTCGTCTGTCCTCCCTTTCTCCCTCCCTCCCTCCTCCCAAAGGCCCGAGCGAGCCTCGCACAGCTCCTCTCCAGGCGAGCGTGTGCAAGGACTGGCTCCACGGCACGTGCGAGCGCGGCGACAGGCGGCGCGCTAGCCAGGTGGAGGAGAGAAGGGAGGAGGAAGAGGATGAGGAGGAGGAGGAGGAGGAGGTGGAGGAGGAGGAGGAAGAGGAGGAGGAGAAGGGAGATGAGCAGGAGAAGAGGGAGTAGGAGGAGAGGGAGAAGAGGGGAGGAGGAGGAGGAGGAGGAGGAGGAGGAGGAGAGGAGGAGGAGGAGGAGGAGGAGGAGGAGGAGGAGGAGGAGGAGCAGAAGGGAGGAAGGGGTGGAGGGACGGAAGGGAGGAGGAGAAGGAGGGAGGACGAGGAGAAAAGGCGGAGACGGAGGAAAGTGCGGTCTCCTTTAGGCTCGGAGATCCAGGTTCGATGAGGCTGTTTCTTTCTGGGGGGGGGGGGGGGGGGCGTATCGCTGCGCATCGTCTCCAGGTGCGTTTCCGTGCGTGTCCGCAACCGCGTCTGGTGAAGGTACGCATCCAGGCCGTGGCGATGCGCGGGCGTGACGTTGTACGGATGCTGGGCTGCCCATGCCGGAGGTGGCTCGAGGCCTCCTCGGGCTTGAGCCCGCTTCGCGCGAGCCACGGCGGGCCCCCTTCGGGAAACCGGTCGGCAAAGCCCGCGGCCACGGACCGAGGAGCCCGGGGGGGGGGGGCGAAGCAACAGCGCGCATGCGCGGCAGGCTTGGGTGTCTTGCTGTCTAGGTGCGGGTCAGCTGCGTGTCATGAGATCTGTCCATAACTCCGTCGAAGGCGGACGGGGAAGAGACAGATGAACAGAAATAGTTGCCGTTGCCGACGATGGTTGCTGAGTGTGTCGAAGTCCTCATGGGGGTCTCCTCGGGGCCTCCTCGGGGGCCTCGCGAGGGGCCTCTCGGGGGCTTCCTGAGGGCCTCTCGGACCTCGCGGAGGGGACAGTGTCTGCGAGCCTTCACGGGGGCGGGGGGAAGTGGGGCCTGTGGGGGGGGGGGCGGGCGAGCGCCCAGCAGGACATAGACGCAGCTTGCGGCCTTTTCGGCCTACCAGGGCGCTCTCGTTTCTTCGGATGTATCCGCCTTGAGATCCTTGCCAATACGCATCCGAGGAGAGGACTGGCGACAGCTCTCGATGAGAGGAAGATGATGGGGAGGAGGAGGAGGAGGAGGAGGAGGAGGAGGAAGAGGGAAGAGGGAAGAGGGAAGAGGGGGGAGGCAGGAGGAGGAGGGAGGAGGGAGAATGGAGAAGGGAGAAGGAGCGGGAGGAGGAGCGGGAGGAGGCAGGGGGCAGGCGGATGTTGGACTGCGGCGCCGATTAAGCTGGGAGCTTGTCAGGAGAGGCCGGCACGCATCTCGCAGAGCATCAGCGATTGAGGCCGGCAAGCTCTGCTGGGGCGCCAAGCCGGCAGGCACAGTCACGTCGCCTTTGCGACGGAGCTGGCGCGACGCGTCGCCCCGAAGCGCCGAGGCTACAGGTGGAGTACGTTTAACTCGTGCCCACCGCTCCCCGCACTCCAAACACCCCCACCTCCACGTCAAGCACCTCGAAGAAGAAAGCACGCCAGAAGCACACAGTTTTGGCGCTCCGCGCCGATGGCCTGGATCTGCGCTTGACCCCCCTCCCTGGCGCGCGGAGCGCGCCAGGGGCGTCGCCCGAGGCGCCGCCGGTGGGGCCCAGCACGGATCCAAAAAATCCGCGCGGAGCGCCAGCAGTTTATGCCTATGGCGTTTGTTCTTCTCCAGGTACCTTGGCCGGCATCGGCTCAAGGTGTCGGCAGAGGGCTCCATGCGGACAGGCTGGCAGGCGAGCTCACACATACAGGAACGACCGCCGTGGCTTGGGCGCAGGGCCACCCAGGAGGGGGAGGGAGGTGGGGAGGGAGGGAGGGAGGGAGGGAGTAAACGAGAGGGAGGGAAGAGGTTGGGATGCAAATTTAACGCCTTCCGCACATCTTCCGCCCCTCAGGAGGCAAGCACGTGTGACACACAGCAGTACATGCGAAAACATGTTGCTGGGTCCCACGTGACCGACCACTTTGGAGCAGCTGAAGGCTCTGAGACAGCCAACGGTTTGCTCCATTCTCCATCCTTTTTTCCAGCCAACAGTCAGACAGAGACGCGAGAGGGCGGAGGGAAGCAGGGGCGAAACGGAGGCGTCCCATCGGGCTGGGGAGGGGCCGCGCGCAGAGTACAATGTTCCTGTCCTACGTCGTCATTGAAATTCGGCAGCCTAGTCGAGACAACGTCGCCTCCGTGGGAGAGTTTCCGCAACGATGTGTGGATAATCCCATCAATCTCAATTGGCTTGGCGACGTCTGAATCGCAGTGGCGGCTTAGACAAAGTTCCTGGTTGCGCCCACCTGCGCACGTGCATGCGGAAGAGAGCATGATCCACAAGCCGGTCCACGTGATCCGACTACGAACGATCAACTGGAGTTATGATGTTCCAACCTTGGCCACCAGGAAGAATTTCGGGCACCAAGGCAATACCGAAGCTGGAGGATATTCATGTGTCGGGCCCTGGGAGGCGACACTCGTCCGACATTGTCCGCCCAAATCTACCCTCGATTCCCAGTGGGTGTGGGGGGTCAGGGAGCATCGGCAGAGACACGTTTGGAGCCCGTACCCCCCCGCCCGACCCGAAACTTGGGTCTTCGGGTTGGGTTTCAGTCGGGCGTGTCCCCCTACAGGAGGAGTATTCAAAAATAGTTTTCAAAAATGGTCTGGGGACGATGTTTGCAAATTTTTCAGCACTTTTCGACTATTTTTCGTTGTTCGTGCAAAAACCGCCCGTAGGGGGACATGCCCGACCTAAGGTTAGGTTGGGGTGGTCTGGAAGGTGGTCACCCTCAGGCGCCTGATCTCCGCGGATCTGATGGCGAGCCCAGACCGCCCGCAGGCCGACGACCTCGGGGCAGGGGCGCGGCGCCAGCAGCAGGCGGCGGGACTCGAGCGATGCCCGGACGGAGCAGCATCTCCCTTCGGACACGGCGCTGGCCGCAGGACGATGGCCTCCCGGCCGGGGCCCACCCGCCGCACGAGGAGCCCGAACGACCTCGGCTCGAGGCACGGCGGCGGGGGCTCTGCCTCCAGTACGCGGCGTCGGCAGCAGGCCGATGGCCTCCGGGGCACGGGCGCGCCAGCGGCAGCTGGGGACCCGCCACGGCTCCACCCAGCCTCGGGGAAGGGCGCCTGCCAGGGCCCTGCCGGAGGCACGGCGCTCGGCGCACCCGGAGGCCGCAGCGGGGCAGCCGGAGGAGCTTCGTGTCGAATTGCAGAGGTCGGCGGCGCCGGCGACCCACCGGGGGCCACGCACCTGCCTGGCGCCGCCCGCCACCGCAGCGAAGCGTAGAACGCTTGCGGATGCCCCGCGGCGTCAGGTGGCTGGCGTGAAGCCAGGGCCCGGCAGCGACAGCATCACGCGGCGGCGCACCCAGGGGAGCGTGAGGCGCAGCATCAGGAGCCGCGCTTGCAGGACCTTCAGGGACACGACGGGCACGGTTGGGAAAACCAAGAGGTACCGATACCGCATCTCCCTGGACCTCTCCCGGGGTGCGTTTTGACCCGAATTTCGAGGCCCAGCATCCAGCGAGAAGCATGCTTACGGTCAGCCACGATGCTGATGCAGCTGTGTCGGAGGAGGGAGGAGACGGTCTGGGCCTCCTCTCCACAGCCGCCCCCCAGACCCTTCCTCGGGGGCGTCTTGGCAAGAAGTTCGAAGCGGAGTCCACCAGTTGCGTCAAGGACGGTCCAGAACGCCCCCCGAAGATGTGGAAGAGCGGTCCACCCGCCGCGTCGCCAGCAGCACCCGCCAGGAGGAGGAGGGGGGCGGAGGGCGGAGGCAGAGGAGGAGCCACGCAACACGTGCAGGGAAGGTTGGAGCGAATGATCTAGGCTTCCCAGATGGGGTCGGAGTAGATGGGGTCGGAGGATCGCGCTGCATCGATGCATCGTCGGTGCATCGGCAATGCGGCTCGATGCGGAGCCCGATTTTATCCACGCTGGCGTTGCCGATGCATCGCCGATGCCGCCGATGTGTCGCCGATGCATCTGCGATGTATCGCCGACGTATCGCCGATGTATCGGCGATGCGGCGCGATCCTCCGACCCCATCTACTCCGACCCCGTCTAGGATGCCTCTAAATGAGTCTCGCTGCCCGAGCCACAGGCCCTGCAACTCGGCGCGTGGGTCGGGGCTCAAGGGACGGGGGTCCTTGCAAACGGCAGCAAACGGGGGTCAGCCAGGGCGCCGTATCTTGCAGGATCCTGCAGGGCCAGCGCTGCACTAGCGTACAGGATCCTTCAGGATCCTGCAAGGATCCTGCAAGGTCCTGCAGGATCCTGCAAGGCCTGACTGACCCGGGCTTGGATTGACCCAGGTCCGTAGATCCCCCAGTGGGCGTCGTCGTGAGGCGGATCTCGCGCTGCTCGCACCGTCCCCGCCGCATCCCCCTCCCCGCCCTCCTCGACCCTCCCTCCCCTTCGTCGGCTTCTGGTCCTCGTCCGCGCACTGGGGCGCCCACGTCTGCCACCACGCCTGCCTCTTGACCCGAGGCCGCTGTGGCCCCGCGCGCCCTGCCCAGAGGGCCACTGGCACGCCGCGCCATGCGCGCCCGCCACCGGCAGCCGGCGCCGATCTCCCTCCGGCCGACCGGAACTGGGCCCGTGGCAGAACGGGCTCCCCGCCGCTTCCTCTCCGTGCTCCCCCGCCCCCCTCCCCCACAGACCCTCCTCCGCCCCTCGCCCTCCTCCCCCTCGTCCTCCCCCCAAGCCTATCCCTCCCTTTTCCTCTGACCCCCCCCCCCTCGTCTGCCCGTTCCCTTTCTCCTCCCCCTCTTCCGCACCTTTCCCCCTCCCTCCATCCCTTCTTCCTCCGCCTGCCCGTCGCCCTCAGCCACCTCGTCGTCGCCCTGCTGGCCCCCCAACATCTTTCCCTCCTCCGCTCTCTCCATACGTGTTTGCTCGCCCTCCCCCATCTTCCCCTTCCCCTCCCTGCTGCCAGATGTAGATTCAAGCACGAGACAGAGTCCGGCCAACCCGTCAGCGAGGCGCGCGCCGCATTCGCGGCTCGGGCATGGGGGGGGACGACACGGAACATGGACCGTCAACCATTGCAGACGACCCGCGAAGAGGATTCGCGATTGATGAGGCGCGGTCCATACGAGGCGGCACGACACGGGCGAGCTCGCTCGCCGCACCGTTTTGCCGCAGGCGTTGCTGTGGTGGGTCAAGAGGCCCGTAGATGCATATGAGGGGCTCGTGGGATTCTTCTCAGGGGCATCTTGGAGGGCTCATTGTGGCACCTGGGGGGGGCGGGGCTTTTTCGAGCTTCTCGGGGTCCTCTTGGGGGCCTCGTGGGTGCTTCTTGGAGGCCCCTCTGGGTCATCTTGTCAAAAGGCTCGAATTGACAAATCGTATTCGCTCTCTGGGGCCCCTCTTGGGGTCCAAGAGGTCCTTTTTCTTAGACCGTCTCGGGGGCCCCTGGGGCCGTCTTCGGGCCATCTTGGGGCTCTCTTAGGGGACCTCATGGCCCGTCTTGGGAGGGTCTTGGGACCCTTTTGGCCGTCTTGGACGCTGCCAAAACGACAGAGGCGGGTATGCTAAACATGCATGTTTTCCTCAGGGAATGGGGCAATGTTTGCTTATAGGGCCTCTCTCGGCGGTTCTCTAGAAGCACTCTGAACCCGTCTTGGGGGCCTCGTGGGCCGTCTCGAAGCCATCTTGGACCGTCGTGGGGCTGCCCTGGGCCGTCTCGACGCTCGCTGGGACTATCCTGTCATTCTGTGTGGACCCTCTTGGCTGCCCAGGGGCTCTATGGAGGCTCCGGTGAACCCAAGGGGGGGCGTTGGGGAGCCCGGAGACCCCTCCATCCCACCCTCTTATCGGATGTTGGACCCCAGGGGAGGGGGACAGCCAAATGTCTCGCACGCCTTTTTACCCCTGGCAAACGGGGGTCGGCGGATTTTGTCTGCTGTGTGAGTGCAGCATATTCTAAAAGTACAGTTCGCGCTTCCCCGCCAGCCAATCCAGTAACGATGCCAAGTGGAGTTGCCTTGATCAGGGAAGTGTAGGAGTATGCAGTGGAACACGAGGGACAGCCATCGATCGGAATCTTCGGATCAGCCTGAGCAGGCCCTGGAGTGAAACGTGCATGCCTTCGTGGCCCTGTCGAACAAGGAAGGAGAAGAAGGAGGAGGAGGAGGAGAAGGAGGGAGGAGGAACCAGAGGAGGAACCAGAGGAGGAAGACGAGGAGGAGGAGGAGGAGGAGAAGGAGGAGGAGGAGGAGGAGGAGGAGGAGCGAGGAGGAGCGAGGAGGAGCGAGGAGGAGGGTGAGCAGAGGAAGATGACAGAGCACGTTCCCATTCAACGTTTCGTGATTTCTGGGTCGGTGGAGGAGCAGGGGAGGAGGAGGATCATGGACGAGGGGGTGAAGAAGAGTAAGAAGAAGAAAAAGAAGGCGACAGCTGCAGGAGTCTAACATCAGATCCTTCGCGGGTATGTTCGTTCTGGGAGCCTTTTTGAGGGCCTCCTGAAACCATGTTGGGGGCATAGTTGGGCAATGCTGGGAGCGTTTAGGGCTTTTTCTTGGGCCCTCTTGTGGCCTCTTGACGGGCTTTAGGGCATTATTGGGGCCATAGTGGAGGACATCGATCAAAGAAGGAGGGTACGAAATTGTCATCGCCCTCTTTGGCCAGAATCGTGGCTTCGGCCCTCTTCTGGCGCTCTAGGGCGTTCTTGGGGCCATGTTGGAGCCCTCATAGGCCACTATCGGGGCTCTCTTGGGCGATCTTGGAGAAGAAGAGTCCAAAGCCCACCAGAAGCGAACAGTCGGGAAAGCAAACATCAGTGGTCCCCCTCAGATTTTAAAAGAATGTCGGCCTCTCGGCGGCGTCTTTGGGATGTTCCGTGGCCACTTGGAGCTGTCTTTGAGCGGTCTTGTACCCGTCTGGATGCATCTTGGAGGTAATCATACCCATATGGTGCCATGCTGGAGGCAATCTTAGGCCATCAGTTTCCCAGTGATGCCCCCCAGAAGCCAAAATCATTCAAACTCACTGCATGTGTCAATGCTCCTGCTGATGAAAGAAGGGGGTACGCAAGTAACGTCGCCCCTCTTGGGCCCGACGACTCGCACAGTGGGGCCCTCGTCGTGCGCTCTTGAAGAATTGTGCTTCGCGCCTCGCAGTCTGTGCCTTTGGGGGAGCGGGATCCCCTCCTGGGGGCGGCGCGAAGATAAGCCGAAAGCGCGAAGCGCGAAGTTCGGCGACTCAGATGCGTACTCAAATGCATTCAGAAATCGACATTATCACGTCCACGCGTATATGTGCATGTGTACCCGAGCGCAGCGACTGCCTTGCACCGGCAGCGCTGGGCGGCGGCGATCAGGCGCACACACACACAGGAGCAATTGTGAGCTCCTGCCCTATTCAACGTTTGAGGCCGGAGGGTGGCAAAGATGGGAGTGTGTATGGTTTTGGTGCAAGAGTGAAGAAGGAGGAGGGTGGAGAAGGAAGGGCATTGGAGGAGACAGGATGCTGGAGGAAGGAGGTAAGCGAGAAGAGCGAGGATGCAGGAGGGAGCATGGAGCCAGGAGTGGGGAGAAAGAGCCAGGGACATGGATTCAGGTGGCCGGGGGCGCAGCGGCGACGGCAGCGGCGACGGCAGCGGTGGCGGCAGCAGCGGCAGCAGCGGCAGCAGCGGCAGCAGCGGCAGCAGCAGCCGTGCAGCATGAGGGGGGAAGGCTTGGAGAAGGAGGAGAAGGAGGAGGAGGAGGAGAAGGAGGAGGAGGAGGAGGACCAGCAACATCAGTAGCAACGGCGACGTCGGCGGAAGGAGGAGGAGGAGGAGGAGGAGGAAGAGGAGGAGGAGGAGGAGGAGGAGGAGGAGGAGGAGGAGGAGGAGGGGGAGGAGGAGAGTGTGGCCTGCTCGGTGTCTTGTCCCGATCCGCTTGTCCTGCGCAGCGTGCCCATCTTGCCCCGGCCTTTTTAAAGGGAGCATAGGGGGAGACGCTCGGGAGAGCCCGTGCGCCCCAGGGCGGGGCGCATGCATGAGGGAGGGGCGCCGTGCCCAGACCCCGTGCTGGGACTTCGTGAACGGCAACTGCGACCGCGGCGACAGGTGCAAGTTCTCCCACACCGTGCCGGAGGGGGAGGGCAAGAAGGGCCGAGGCCGGCACCCGCAGTCCCTGGGAGGAGGGCGGCAGGGGAGGCCGAGGGGGGCACGTCGGGAGGACAGGATGGCACAAGACGGCGAGGGCGATGTGCGTGGCGAGGGCGAGGAGAGCGAGGGAGGGAGCCAGTGAAGGGGGGAGGCGGGGAGGGAGGAGAGAGGGAAGAACAGAGGAGAGGGCGGAGGGGAAGGAGGAGGAATGGGTACGGGCAGGGACAGGACGGGGATGGTGGTGAGGCGAAATTCTGCATAGTGCGGAGCGGTTGGAGAACAGATGCGTTCAGTTCCATATGAGATGCCTTATTGTTCGAGCTGGATTCCACCATGCGCTGCACTTATGTGTCCAGTCTAGCAGTGTTTGTCACGAATTGGTTTGACAGTTTGACATCAGGGAATATTCACCCGATATGCCGTAGTGGCAGTGGTATACTGACAGTGTTCGAGTGTTGTTCGTTTGGTTTTATGTTGATGCGTTTACTGTTGTGTTCCAACGCTGTGCCCTCGCACCTGCTGTAGCAACAGCTGCGGTCACACTCTGACGGGTGAGTATTTGAGGCAGATGACACTTGCATCTACTATCGCAGGGCCATGCGAGCCCCGCACAGCCGCACGCAGATGTCAAATGATTATGCGCACCATACTACAGACTATGACCACTAGATAGTAAGCCACTCTGCTCCACAAGCTGACCTTGACAGTGACGACGCGCAGGCACAGCAGTGGCACCGGAGACCAGACACAAGAACGTTGGGATGCAATTCTATGCCCATCTTCTCCCAAAACACAAAAGCGATTCAACTCCAATGCTTCAGTCAGCCCCCGCACTCCCGCCCGAAGCGTTATCTCCTCTTCCTTTCTGCCCCGCTCCTCCGGCACATCGCGAAGGCGATCCGCCGCGGCTGCTTCCAGCGCAGCGGTGGCGCAGCGCGGCCGGCGCCACCGCGGCAGGACGTGGACAGCAGCACGAGCCGACCTCGGCGGCCGTGCGCAGCCCCGCGGAGCTTCGGCTCGGGAGCGCTGCCGAGCGCCGGGCGGGCCCCCCTCGGCCGCGCCGTGGGGGCTGCGCCCCGCGGAGGCTGGCCGCTGCAGGAGGCTCGGGGCGTGCGCCCGACCGGCCGGGCCCGGCGTGAAGCTGCGGCAGGCGCGGCCCACCGCGGCGACAGGGGGGGGACCTCGCTGGCGGGGTGGGCCGCTGTGCCACGTGGCGGGCTGCGCGAGGAAGGGCAGCTCGCGCCATATTAGGGGGCCACATGCGAACCCTACCCCTACCCCCCACGATTTCTCAGGGGGAGGGTGGGGGTCACTTCGCTCGAGAGCTCTCGAGCGAAGTGAACCCCACCCTCCCCCTCAGAAATCGTGGGGGGTAGGGGTAGGGTTCGCATGTGGCCCCCTACATATGCGCTGCGCTGCGTGCAGGGGGCGCTGCGCACGAGGCTCGCGGGCGGGGTCGCCGCGCAGGCGGCGGCAGCCAGGCTGCGCGAACCAGCGCCGCGTCGTCGTTGCCAGACGGTTGGCAACGGTAGCGCAGACGGTTGCTGGCAGGTAGCGCAGACGGTTGCTCTGCGCGGTGCGGTCGGCCCGAGCGGGGTGTCAGGTCGAGGTCGGTCGGGGGAGGGTGCCCTAATGTTTGTCGTGCTTGTTGGGCGTTCTCGTGCATCCTGGGGGCGGGTGCCCTCGAATGTTCCTCAGTTTGGCCCGCAGAGGGTCTCTTGTTCTTGAAGGATGTTTTTCTGTCCCAGGCACGGCCGTATTGGCTGTCGCTTGGAGGGCTTCCGCGCGGTGCTGCCGCCAGGAACCGCATGCATTGGCGCCCTCCCGGAGAACCTGGTTCGACGCGCGATGGACGATCGCATCAAACCAACGTTGATCGAACGATCGCCGCGTTTGCCTCTTCCTCGTCCTTCTCCTCCTCCTCGTCCTCCGCCTCTTCCTCTCCTCCTCCTCCTCCTCCTCCTCCTCCGCCTCCTCCTCCTCCTCTTCCTCCTCCTCCGCCTCCTGGAGGATCGATCCGGTTCATCGCGCGATGATGGAGGAACGCCGCCGCCGCCCCGGCAAACCTGCGTGTCCCGCCCGAAAGCCGCCCCGTGCGCCGCCGCCCTGGCAGACGCAAGGGGGGGCGCCACGGTGTGTCATCGCTACCAGCGTAATCATAATTTCCCCTCCACCTCCTCCGCGTCCTCCGTCTTCTCCTCCTCCCTCTCCGCCTTCTCCTCCTCCTCCTCCTCCTCCTCCTCCTCCTCTCCTCATCTTCCTCCTCCTCCTCCTCCTCCTCCTCCTCCTCCTCCTGTTGCTCCTCCTCCTCTTCCTCCTCCTCCTCCTCTTCCTCCTCCTTCTCGTCCTCCTCCTTTTCCTTTTCCTTCCTTTCCTCCTCCTCTCCCCCAACGGGCGGAGGAGGAGGCGAGGCGAGGTGTCGCGAGCGGCCGACAAACCCGCTTTTGACCAGGGCAGGTTGGGGATTGCAGCTCGACGGCCGTAGCGGCGCGCAAGACGGCAGCGGGTTTGTCGACGGGTCCCAGTGGCGCAGAGAGCGGACCTGGTTGCCTCCCTACATGCGCTGAGCCTCGCTGTGGGCCCGGTGCGGGTGATCGCCGACTCTTTGTGTGCCAGCAGCGGGATGGCGGCGGTCCGGGCGAGGGTTGCCCCAGTGGAGTGAGCGCGCGCCGGGATCTGGGAGTTGTTGGTCCTCGTCGCGCGCTGGATCACAGCGCCTCTCGGCGCGGCTGGCTCACGGGATCGGGCCGTGATTGACAAGAGCAGCTCTGGCAACGCGGCAGCCGCGCGCGCGGCCCCCACCGCCCGCCCTGCCCGCTGGGTGGGACAACTCGCGCGCATCGAAAGCAAATTAAATTTCTGACCACACGGTGCTACAGTTTCCCCAATCTACTTCCAGATTTCAAAAGTTATTCAAAGTTTGAAATTTCATTGCGTGTGCTGACTTAGGCAGCCTCTGAACTTGCGATGCTCCGCGACCGGCGGGGCGCGAGTGGCGCGCGCCGCCAGGCGCCCCGCCGCAGGGTCGCTCGCCTGCAGCCGCCGCAGCACCCGCGGCGCTAGCCGCTGGGGAGCCACGCGCGTGCGCCAGCGTGGCCGCGGCTGGCCCCGCGCGGGCTGGGCCGCCGCGCTGCCGCCGCAAGCGGCGGCATTGCTGCCAGGGCCCACGGTCGAGGCTGGCGGGCGCGAGGTCGAATAGCGCACGGCGATGCATGCGCGTGTGGTGCAGCGCGTTGGGCCACCGGACGAGATTCGGAGTCCGCCCCCCCCCCACACCCCCTCTCCGCCCCTTCTCACCTCTGCCCCCCTTCTCTCTTGTCTGGCCGCCTTGAGTTACCCCACTAGGTCAAAAAGATGCATAGCACCAGGCCGCTTCTCGATCCAACCAAAAAGCTGGCTCATGCTCCGCAAGAGCACAATATTGTTGTACGCTTGCTCTACAGCGCCATAGACCAGCAGTTGTGCGCACCAACCCCACAGAGCTGGCGACAGACGGTCGTCGAAGTTACTCCTAAAGCAGAGGACCTCACAGAACTCTACAGATTGGCTTGCAGCATACGTGCGTGCATTACGCAAGCAAGCCAGTTCCCGAACTGTTCTACACGACGCGTGGCAACCGCACGTAAACAAACAAATAATCCACATTATGGTGGGCTGCGCCCTCGGCGACCCGCACATTACCACTCTTGTAAGTTCCACCGCTTCCGAAGGCAAAAAAAACGCACGTTAATGGAGCCAGCCTGCCTGGATTGCGGCATTCGACCTCGTGCACGCGATCGGCACAGTCGAACGCGAGAGAAGCTGGGCGACACGTGGCAGTCAAGCTGTCGCATCGGGGCGCATCCAAGGTCTTAAGCGGCTCTGCTCTCAGGGAGCAGCGACAGGGCCAGGCCAGGCAGACACGACGAACCAGCCAGTCCATGCCATGAGAGGCACGCAGCAGGGCGAACCCCTCAGCTCACTGCTCATGAATCCGTTTCCCGGGTACATGATGAAACAGCTGGTCGCCACGGGGCAACAGCGTAACCGAGCAGTACAATTCCGATGTTCGCGCGGTTGTTTCCTGACGACTTTTCGTTTCGTCGACGACGTTGTCCGCGTCCCCTGTGTCCTGTGTCCGTGTCCACAATGCCGAAAGGGCAAGGCCACGGTAGCAGGGAAACGCTTTTTCACCCACGTGTAGACACAACGAAAATTATGATTAACATGTCTGAGCGAGCAGGGAGGGCACGAAAGCGGATGGTGAGAACCGACGATGCGGACATCGATATGTTAGTTCACGTTGTTGTTGTCAAGTATCTGGGTCAGTGCATCAGTCTCGACGACATCATCCACTGATATGAACATCCGCCTGAGGGCACAGGCTGGGCACCTTTACCAGACACGAAGTCGCAGGGAACCACTACCCGCCGAAACAATGATTCGTGTTTTCCGACGGCATCCGAATGCAAACGATGTTCTAGGGAGCACGCTCGTGGACATTCACAGAGACCTACAATGTTCAAAGTTCCGCATGTTGCACAAGGTTGTCGGCACCCGTCGACGACCACAAATTCCGACGCCGGACCAAAGCCCAGATCGACCGATCCGCAAGAGGCGCGTCCGACACCAGTTCCGAGAGCTCACAAGGGTAGTTCCGACGGAGACGATGTATGCAGCCACCCACCGATCGCCCACTCAACGACACGCGATACGCCGCACCGTCGGCAACAATGACAACTAGCCTGGGGACGTCGAGATGGATCCATAGGTTGAATACACTAGACAGGCAAATCGACAAGCAGAGGCTCTCATGCAGAGCTCAACGATTGGGCGACAATGTAGCGAAATCCGGTGTGCAGCATTGGCAGCCAGCCTCCATACCTCCTAGAAACACAGCGTCATCTTGGAGGACAGCGGAAGAGATGGGACGGTAACATCAGCGAGTTTATCCACCTTTTCCACACCTTGGGCGACCATTACCAGACAGTGCGCAAGCACTACGCCCTGAACGGCAGGGTTTGGCTACAGCAGGTTGTCACGGATGAGCGCGGCAAATGGGAAAACATTTCGCCGTACGCGTCCCCCAGCACCCCAACGACGCCCGCATTTTGAGTGAGTTATTGATGTTTCTGGCCATTTTGCGAGGCCGTGGCCTCGCCCATTCCGCCTTGAAGGAGCACCAGGAGACTACTGGTATGAGCGTTCTGTTCTGCTCTCGTCGGAGCACTCGGGCCAGGTCGTTCCATGTTGCTTGTAAAGGAGGCCTACCACTCGCTAGCGCGTCATTGTGAGTTGTTCGGCGCCTTTGTGGCGCACTTTTGTTTTTTATTTCAGCCGTGTTGAATTGGTTGGTTTTCAGTTCCGTTGTTTGAATGCGTTCCCCAACCAACTTGTGGTGTTGGGCCCGCGCTTTGGAGAGACAGCGCCCAGCGTTCCTTTTTCTCCTCCTTTTCCTCCTCCTCCTCCCCCTTCCTCCCACCCCTGCCTGTGCCCTCTGTATGTCCACCATCCCAGAGCACCAAGTACATCGCTTCGTGGCCCCATTGGGAGCTCTACCGAAAGCCACAATTGTTGTGACCACGTGCGTCCCGCGCCAGCGAGTACGGCGCTTCGTGGCCCCATCGGGAGCCCCACCGAAGGCCCCCAGTGGTTGTGACCACATGCGTCCCGCGCCACCCAGTACGCCGCTCCGTGGCACCATGGGGGCGTCCACCGAAATCCAGTGGCTGTGACCTCTTGAGTCCCGCACCACCGAGTACGGCGCTTCGTGGCCCCATAAGGAGCTCCACCGAAGGCCCCCAGTGGCTGTGACTACATGCGTGCCGAGCCACCCAGTACGGCGCGTCGTGGCCCCATAGGGAGTGCCACCGAAGGCACCAGCGGCTGTGACCCTACGCGTCCCGCGCCACCCAGTGCAGCGTCCCGTGGCCCATAGGGAGCTCCACCAAAGGCTTTAGTGGTTGTGACCACATGCGTTCCGTGCCGCCCAGTACGGCGCGTCGTGGCCCCAAAGGGAGTTCCACCGAAGACACGAGTGGCTGTGATCACACGCGTCGGCGCCACCCAGTCCAGTGCTTCGTGGCCCCATAGGGAGCTCCACCGAAGGCTACAGTGGCTGTGATCACATACGTCTCCCCCCGCCCATTTCGGCACACCCCTCACGCGTTTCGTGGCTCCACTCGGAGTTCTACCGAAGGCCCCAGTGGCGACGTTCGCATGCGCCCCCTCCCCGAACATTTCGGCATACCCCTCACGCGTGTCGTGGCCCCATGGGGAGCTCCACCGAAGGCCCCAATGACGACGTTCGCGGCCCCGCTCCATTTCGGCAAACCCCTCACACGTTTCGTGACCCCACACGGAGCGCCACCGAAGGCCCCGATGGCTGCGCCCGCATGCGTCCCCGCCCCATTTCGGCACTCTTTTTACGCTCCCTGGCCCCATAAGGAGATCCACCGAAGGCTAGACCCACAACGGCGATACTCACAATTCCATATGGTCGTTGCGAATTGTTCTGTGTTGCCTTATTGCGCGCTGCTCTTCTCGTAGTGCATCCGCCCTGGCAGGAGCCCTGGGCATCTCGAAGCTGAGGGCATACACTTTGGCGGCGCAGGCACAAGCTGCAATCAGTTATCACGCGCCCGTTAAGAAAAACACCGTCAAATGATGTGTTGGGACAAGCGCGTCGTACACCCCCGTGGTGGCCAACCGCAAGGCTTCCGCAGACCAACTTGCAGTAAACTCTCACACACACACACACACACACACACACACACACACACACACACACACACACACGCCTCGGGATAGGAAGCCTGACCCTCCCAGCCTTTTTGCCCCCAGTGGGGCAGGTGAGCGTGAGTCTTATCGCTCAGCTACCTCTCGATGCGCGCGACAGGGCCCGGCACTTTCCGTGATTGTAGTTGCGATGTTGTTTGTGGTTTGTGGTTGATTGGAGTTGTTAGTGATGAGAGTTGTTCGAAGAGGCCTTGCTTGCCAGCGCGGCCCAGGCAGAGGCAAAGGCAAAGGCTCGGGAGACCGGGGGCAGCCAAAGGAGCAGGAGACGCTGCTTTCCTCGCGCCCGGCGAGAACAGCAGGGATGGTTGAAGGGAAACACGGATGCTTCGTCTCAAGCCCAGGCGTCACAGCGACGCATAACGGCGTGGAGGTTTTTGCCCTGACACGCGAAGAGAGAAGGCGGGTGATGAGGTGGAGAATGACAACGCAAGACAAAATATTCCAGGAGCACATGCGTTGGAGCATCCAAATTCCCAGATTCAGATTGCGGAGGCAAGGTTCATGGATGAACGAGGAGAGAGCAGGAATTGGAGGGGGGGGGTATGAGCAGCAGCATATGAAATCTGATGCCACGGAGGCGAACGAGGCAGCGAACACCGAGGATGAGTAGGAGGAGGAGGAGCGCGCCCAAGCCAGGTCATTATCTTCGTGAATATTCCTTGAAATTTTCGCGTTTCGTTTTCCGACCCGTCCACAATTGACAGCCAACATTCGCCATCAGAACGATTCCAATAAGCAAGGGGGTTTAGTACCCATCAGTTATAGGCGTCCTTGGCACCTGTGACACTATCAGTGACGCCTTTGGTACCCTTTGGCGTGTTCGAAATGATGTGCGTCATTATCCACACATCCTTCTCTCCCCGTCTTCGGGGCCAGCTCTTGTTGCACAGGGCGATGTGTGTGGTCCACCTCACATGTCCCCTCCTTTCCTTAATCATCCGTCCTCCACGTCTTTCTCCTTCGCCGCGCCCTCGTCCTGCACGCCCCCTCCGCTCTTGCTGATCCACCTCATGCTCATGCATCTTCCTCTTACGGCCTTCCGTATCCTCCACGCGCTCTTGCACGTCTCTACCACCTCCACGCCCCCTTTTGTCTCCTTTACGCCCTTCTCATGTTTCTCGGGCGGAACGGGCTCAGGGAGACAATTTGTTTATCCACTCAAGGGACAACACGTGTTACCCCCCCCTGCCCCCCATCCCCCTCCGTAATGGAAACGCCTTGGTCCGGTCCAGTGCGCGATCCCGGGCAGCCTAGGGCCCGTGGTGCACCACGCAGGCACTACCTCTGCCGCGGTGCATGCGGGCGTGCAATATGGTGTACGCAGGCACCGCAGTGTACACGGCCGTTGTGCCGCACAACTTTGTCGTTGAAGCAGCAGCTGTGGCGTACACAGGCATCGTGGGTGTACGCAAGCATTGTGGTGTACACATCACAAGCCCTGTGGTGTACACAGGCGCCGTGATGTATACAATCGCTGCAGTGCGCAAGGTCGCTATGATGTAGGCGTGCACTGTTGACTTGAATGTACCTGCGCACCTCTTCCTACTTGTTCCTCCTCGTCCCTCTTCATTTTCGTCCTCTTCGTCGGTCTCTCCTTGCGCATACAGGACGCGGGCATTGATGATGATGATGATGATGATGATGATGATGATGATGATGATGATGATGATGATGATGATGATGATGATGATGATGATGATGATGATGATGATGATGATGATGATGAGAAGGAGGAGGAGGAGGAATCATAAGATAGCTGTGCGCAGGTTGTGCTTGGTGCATCACGCAGATCCGCGGGCGGTCTGGTGCACGGATTCCTGCAAAGAGCTTCTCTTAGATGATGGTGCGCGTTGTGTCAGTGCTCTTGGAAAAAATGCGCGGCCCCCGAGCTGTCGACCCCATCGCGGGGTTCTTACTCCTCCTGCTCCTCCTGCTGGTGTTCCTGGTCCTCCTGCTTCTCCTGCGTGTATTCCCTCGGCTGATGCCGGTCCGCGCGCCCCCGAGCCGCGTGGTGTTCACGGGCGCCGTGGTGCGCGCAATTGCCATTACGGGCGTCGTGGGCCCAACGTGTCCGATTTTAAATTTGATACGTTCGGGCCCCCAACGATTTTCCGGAGTTTGGCTCCGTCGGCACTTTCAGGTACACAAGCTTTGCGGCGTGCGCAAGCGCTGCGGTTCACAGGGGGGCGAAGCAGCAGCTGCGGCGCACGCAGGCGCCGTGGTGTGCACAAACAGTGCGATGTAGACGGGGTGTTGCGGCGCACGCGGGTGTTTTGGCTTATGCAGTCACCTTGGTGCACACGCATACCATTTCTGTAGCAGTCTTGGTGCACAAGGACATTGTGGTGTACCTGCCCGCGTCGTGCGCACTGGCATTGTGGGCTTGGACGGCGACGACGACGACGACAACGACGACGACGTAGGCAGTGCGCATCGGGGGGTGCCCGCCGCGGCCCCCGTTACCGTTGCCCCCCCAACCACGCCCCCCCCAGGGTAACACGTGTTACCCCCCAGGAAATAAGCATGTCTCAGGGTGGGACAGGAGAGGGCCGAGTGGTGGAGGGCGTCTCAGTCTGAACGGCAGCGCAGGAGGTCTGCCGACACTTCCTCAAGGGCTGGTGCAACTTCGGCAGCGGCTGCCGGTATTTGCACACCGAGGACAACAGATGGATGATGATGAGGAGGAGGAGGAGGAGAAGATAGATGATGACGAGCAGAAGCAGCAGCATGACGAGGAGTACGTAGGAGTGTACTCGGCTAGCGACCTTCACTTTCGAAGCAGTGTTTGGTGTAGGGGGTGCGTCGGGATCACTCTCGGAGGAAGTCAAAGAAAACGGGGAAGTCAAAGAAAACGGGGAAAGGGCAAAAGGGAGGGAAAGACGTGGGACGGTTGCGCGGGAATGGAGCGACTCGTTTGAGTCCTTTGGGCGATATGCATTCAGTCAAGGGCATAAAAAACGCCACTACCCTGGTTTACGAGGCGCTGTGCGCTGAAACTCCTGTGGGCTGGCAGGGTAAACCCTGCGTGATGTGCCGCGTCCTGGCGGCTCTAGGCTTTGGGAGGTCCCAGGAGGTTTACAGACCGCGCGCTTGTAACCCAGGGTCGGGTCGTTTTTCATCCCTCAATTCAGGATTGACGCTCGCGTGATGGGGACTTGCAATCAATTTGAAGCACATGAGGAGCGGCGGAAATGATACGTAAAGAAGTGGCTTCGCGGATGGGGAAGCCGGGGGGGTGGGCAGAGCGGCGACGATGGGGGATGGAATACTGGACAGAGGTGTGACTTGGAACTGGAGGGGCACGAGGAGAAGTGGGAGGGCGTCGACGATGCCAAGGCTCCTCCTCCTCCTCCCCCTCCTCCTCCTCCTTTTCCCTCCTCCTCCTCCTCCTCCTCCTCCTCCTCCTCCTCCTCCTCCTCCTCCTCCTCCTCCTCCTCCTCCTCCTCCCCCTCCTCCTCCTCCTCCTCCTCCCCCTCCTCCCCCTCCTCCCCCTCCATGGCGGCCCCCGTCCCCCCGCCCCCCCGCCGGGAGGACTCCAGCTCGAGCGGCGCCTGGAGGCCCAGCCTGGGCCCAGCGGGAGGGGACGAAGGCGCCCGCGAGGAGAGGGGGGAGGGGAGAGGGGAGATAGGACGAGCCGGTGAGTGCTGTGTGTGCTCCCCCCGGGGGGTCTCGCCCACTCCCCGCCCCCACGCCCCACCCCCACCCCCGGGAGGGGACGAAAGCGCCCGCGAGGAGAGGGGAGGGGAGGGGAGATAGGACAAGCCGGTGAGTGCTGGTTGTTCTTCCCCCGGGGTCTCGCCCACTCCCCGCCCCCAGCCACCACCCCCGGGCGACGCTGACGACCGTATTGGGGGGGGGGGGGGGCTTTGAGCCTCCGCCCAAACGCTGGGGGGCATGGTGCCGGCGGTGCGGCCACACCCTGGCTGGTGCACGCCGTGGCCGCCGTTACCGGCACCCCCCCGCCCGACCCCCCCCCCCTTTGGTTAGTTAACGAGCGTCACCCGGGGAAGAAAAAAGGTTCATGTAGGTGCGGTCGCGTCATATTTGACGTCCGACCCCTCCCATCCCTTACCATGGCGCAGATATCCTCACCACACTGGCCGAGATCACGGAAACGGCGCCGACGATGAGACGGAAGCGCCATTTTGGAGGAGCCAGAAGTGCGGAAAGGACACGAAAGATGAAGCACGTTGCTTCTCTGGAATGACCGACAGCATTTGAATTGGGAAAAAGCACGAGCAAACACTGCTAGTGAAAGTCAAGTGTAAAGAAAATCAGACGCGGCGGGGGAGCGAAAGCGTCGGATTGGAAAATCACAGGAAATACCAAGTCATTGAAACGTGTGCGAAGAAACACTGCGCGGAGGGGGGCGGGGTGTTTTTGTTCATCAGTTTCGTGGGGGAGAGGAGAAGTATTCATAGTGTATAATTGTGAAGGTAGTGGGGAGGGAAGGAGAGGAGGGATAGATGTAGTTCGGAAGGGGAGGAGGGAGGGAGGAGGAGTGGGGAGGAAAGAGAAGAGGAAGGGGACGAGGAGAAGGAGGATGAGGAGGAAGAGAGGTGAGGACGAGAGGAGAAGAAGGGGAGTAGGAGGAGGAAGTGGGGATCGATGATGGCATGGGGGCCTTGCGAAAGGCTGCCCGCATTGACCGAAAATCAAATTGAGTAGAGCATGCGCACAATCAAGTTGGGCCCTTAGCAAGGGCATCTACCTGACCTCACCCATGTGTACGCATATGTATGTATACAAAGTACCAACTGCACTTTACCTTATCTGGTATCATGGCTTATATTTGTTTCGACTACAATGTGGCGCCGCCATCTAGTTGAGCATTCCTTAGGTACCCCGTCTCCTCTCGTATACTCTATTGAATTCGATTATGTTCGATTCATATTCTGCTCAACGCTACTCTGGTTTACTCGTCACCGTCCTGCGGTTACTCTTCTATGCGTTTCTCCACCCGACTCTCGACCCTACGCTACTCTTGGCATCCCCTACACAGACTAACCTCATGCCCGTGAGAATAAACACTAGGGGATAATAAAGTTCGGGGTTCAGGGAGAGATAATAAAAGTAGCCCAGCAGACCTCAGCATAATCTCGAAGTAAGAGATGATCAAGAGGAGACCAAGCCGAGCACGTTTTGAGACATCCTTGGCGTTTAGTTTTGATAGAACTATCCTCAACAATGGCTTATCTCGCTGGAGACATCCTCGACAAATCCCTTGTTTAGATGTTATGTACAAACGCTTTATGAAAATTGTTTTTTGTAAGTGCTCGTGTAGGGTAGCTCATGTGCCTCAATTTCCATGGATAGTCAACCCCAGAGATAAAAAAAGTTCAGGCGAGCGTGGGGACAGAGAGAAATATAAAAGAAGAAGAATACAGTAGAAGAAGAATAAGAAAGAAGAAGAAGAGGATAATAAGAAGAGGACGAAGAAAGGAAAAATCCAAAGTTCCAAATCTATCAATTTTAATTTACAAACGCTTTATGAAAATTGATTGTTTAAGTGCTCGTGTAGGGTAGCTCATGTTCTTCATTTTCCATGGATTATCAACCCCAGGGATAAAAAAGTTCAGGCGAGCGTGAGGACAGATAGAAATATAAAATAAGAAGAGGAAAGTAGAAGAATAATAAGAAGAGAAGAAGAAGAGAAGAATAATAAGAGAAGAAGAACGGAAACGCTTGAGACATCCTTGAAACATTGCTCGTTTCGTTTGAGTCTGCCTCCCAAAATTATCTCAACATCGCTTGATGTTGCTATCTCAACATAGCGTTTCGAGGTGATAATGAAGTTCGGCCTCAGCGCTCGCCGCCCAATTTGAATTTTGTATAGGGCGACGATAATCAACTCTAAACACTGAAGGGGGGGTCCCTTTATTATCATCGGCATGCGGTTACTCATTGGTTTTTGCAGTGTATTATCATTGGCGCAGTTCTATGCGACCACGCCACGTTGAGTCCTTTTTTGTATGTGTAGGCATAGGTCGCTGCTCTCCGCTCCACACATCTTGACCATGCGTACTCAACTCTTGTAACCTACACAACTCTTCACTAGCATATTCTGATAGGTGCAAATAGTTTCGAAACTTCTGGTCTACAGTGCGCTGGCTTACCATAAGCACTAAAACTGTCCTCTACTGCGCCCTCTCTCTCTCTCTTTCTCCCTCTCTCTCCTCGGTCCTCCTGCCCCATGCGGCAGCCGCTGCGGAGTTCCATGCATCCCACTAGGAGCGTATGAAGATGCCTCGATCATGGCACGGGTAGGCACGTAATCTGAAGCTCGGCCATCGAACAAAGTCACTGGAGAACGAGCCAAACGACTATCGTCTCACTCCGGCCGGCTACTTTTAGGAAACACAGCAGAAGGGGGCGAGAGGTGAGAGGAGCAAACCAAATGCGTTCACACAAACTTTGGCATCTTACACGTGCGGCAGCGGAGCGAGCGCGAGTGGTTGGCGGAGGCGCAGCAGGCCGTTGTGCCAGGAGCTGCCGAGGTCCAGGCGGGAGGCGACGACGCGCAACATGGAGGAGTTGCCCGTCGAGCAGCAGCAGTTGGCCATGTTGGCGGCGTTGATGCGCCCCCTGAGGACGTCTCGGCGGCCTGCAAACGGCTCGCTACCCTCTTCGCGCTTGTGGGGAAGCGGACAAGTTGGCCTGAGGGCCCCACGATGTCACGCCCGCCATTCCCTCAAAATTTAGTGACACCACGCCGATCTCTGGGCCACACGACTATTTTGAACGGACGTGGTTTGTCTCGTCGCTGCTTTATTGATTATTGGCACAGTTTGCTGCGGGGGCGTCGAGCGCGTCATTATTTGCAGGCGTGCGCCAGCCTTGGGTTCCGCGGGCGACTTGCACCAGTTCGTGACGTTACGGCGGCTTGCCCGCCACTCGCGGGCAGCGCGAAACACCTTGAGAAAGCATGACGTGGCTGCCAGTCTCGTGTCAGGGGCACAGTGGAATGTGCTGCCACGTGCGTGCTACAGTCGAGACTGATTAGCAGGTCGACCCTACTAACTCAAGGGTACCCTTGTTTCCTGACCTTCGCGACCCATGCCTTCTTTCATTCCTATGGCAACGTGGCCCTCGGAAGGGTCTTGTGTCTTCTCGCGTGTCCTCTCCAATCAACCCCGACGGTACTGCGTGCCACAGGGGTGCGCGGCGCAATCTTGCGCTCTGCGCCGCCAGCCCCGTCGGACGGTCGTGGCTCTGCATGCGGGGAGCCCTCGCGCAGATGCACCCGCGGTGCGATGCCGGTTGGGCACGGCGCGGTCGGAAGGCGCGGGCGGCGTTGTCTGCGCGCGCGACTCGTGTCGCCAGCTGCGCTTCTTTACCGGCGCGCGCCGCAGGCTGCGCGGCTCATCCCATCTGATGAATGTTGTTCCCCTTTTTGCCTCCCCTTCCCCTCCCATACCTGCCAAGAAGAGGGTCCTCCTGGGCCGTCACGGGGTGGTTTGGGGAGCCTCTCGGGCCGTCTTGGAGCAGTGGAAAGCAGAAAAGGCGAGAACGCCAACATCCATACAAAAAAAAGTGTGTTTCTTGGGGCCCTTTTGGGAGGCCTCTTGGAGTTCTCTTCGGGCGTCTTGGAGGCCTCTTGGGCCATCTTGGGTGTCTTGGACCTATATTTCGGCGACTCGCGGCCCTCTTGGAACGTCTTGGGGCCTCTTGGGGCAATATTGGCCCGTCTTGGGGCCCTATTGGCTCCGAAAATTCACGCGACAAGACGCGAGACACATGTTGGTAGATTTGGCAATTTGAGGTCCAGGTCCTTGAAGAATCCTCAGGAGTGAGGAGTGAGGCTCAGATGATCAGACAAAGGACCTGAGGACACGCCCACTCCGTGCCCAGCGGCACGGTGGCGGATCAGTACGAACTCACATTTAGGCTCCGTGCGACCATCAGAAGAGTATTGGATACAATGGATGCGCCCTCCAGCCCTTGGAGGACAAGGCGGGAGCCACGGAGGGACACAGGCGGGAGGAAGGGAAGAAGGAGGAGGCGGGGGAGGGAGGAGGGCGAGGAGGATGAGGAGGAGGGAGGGGCGGATGTGAAGGAGGGAGATCGGAGAGGACGGGGGACGACTTCGACGACGACCGTAGCGGCTACGACGAGGCGACGTCGGCGACGGCGAAAGTGACGGCGGTCACGCTGGCGGCGACGGTGAAGACGACCACGCTGGATGGTGTCGGCGGCGAGGCCCCGCGCGCTCTCGCCCCACCCCCCCTCTCGCGATGATTTGTATCCTCGACCAATTTTGTCGAAGCGGGTCCGCAGCCTGCATGCAGCCCACAGGGGGCCGATCGGCGCCGCAGTGCTGCCGTCCTGAAGCCCTCGTCGAGCCTGCTTATCCCCCCCCGCGCAGGCGGCTGGGCCGGCGGGCGGGAGCCTGGCGGCGGCGGGCAGCGCTGGGGCGGCCGCAGGAGAGACAGGCGGCCGGGCGCCCGCTCCGCGCAGGCGGCAGGTCTGCGGGAGGCCCTCGGAGGGCCTCGGCGGGCAGCAGGAGGGGGAGGAGGAGGAGGAGGAGAAGGGGGACGAGGAGGAGGGGGAGAAGAAGGAGGAGGAGGAAGAGGAGGAAGACGGGGAGGAGGAGGAGGAGGAGGAGGAGGAGGAGGAGGAGGAGGAGGAAGGAGGAGGAGGTCCAGGAGGAGGAGGAGGAGGAGGAGGAGGAGGAGGAGGAGGAGGAGGAGGAGGAGGAGGAGGAGGAGGAGGAGGAGGAGGAGGGCGGCGGCTTCCCCAGCGGCTGCGCCTCGTCGAGGGCGGCTCCCGGGTGCGGCCACCCGAGGCCCGAGCGAGGGCCCGAAAGCCAGCCGGAGGGGATCGGGGCTCAGGCCAAGGGAGGCAGCGCTGACAGGGGTCAGCCAATGCCTTCCGATCCCCCCCGCCGGACCCCGGTGTGGGCGCCACGTCGACCACCCCGTCGCCTCCCTTGCCTGGCCTGGGTGGGCCATTTTTCTTGGCCAGCGGGGTTCGCGGCATGGCCCTGTTCGACCCAGGATAGCGCTGACCGGGGGTGGGGAGGGGGAAGAGGAAGCGGCGGCGAAGCGGTGTCGGGCCGAAGGTCGAATTTATCGGGCACAAACACATTCTGCTAAAATCAGAGGCGAGCGACCCACCGTGAGAGTATGACGACGTCGGGGTGCAGGATGGCCCCACAGCGGGAGTCCCAAGTGAACCTTGCTCCACCACAGCTGCAGGCTCAGGAGGAGGACAAATTATGCGAAGAGGGGCGAGGAGCTGGCGTTAGGTCTCAGAGCACTTCCAGGCCCCCGAGTTTTTGCAAGGCCCATGTCTGGCTCCACTGAAGTCGGGCCTGGCTACTCTAAAGGCATATGAGCGAGCCTACGTGGTCAGTGTAGTTTCTGGCGGCCAATGGCCGCCAGACAGGCAATATCAGCTCGGGCTCTCGAGTGAGCAAAATTATCGCGTGTGTTCTTCCCCTGGCGCAGGCATCTAAACTGTCAAGGGCAGCAAGATTTACTCGAGCTTGAGGCCGAACCCCCAGCGTGCACGGTAGGCTTGATGCAAGCCTCAGGTAACTTTGTTGTCTTCCTGCTTGCCGCGAGGATGATGCTGCCGTTGCTTGCTCCCCCGCCTCCTCCTCCTCCTCCTCCTCCTCCTCCTCCAACTGCTGAGGAGTTCTGGCTTGTTGGAGCCCTGGAGGAGCTCGGAGGAGACTGCTTCTTCATGGGTGGAAGTTTGTTCGGCTCTGAGCTCCTGCCCACCGCTCGATCGCTAGGAGGGGCCATCGTCGCCCTGCATGATGGTCAGAGCCTTCCTCCGAATCGAGCGAACAGAACACTTATCGCTGGAATCATGGGCTCAGCGTGGGGTCCTCGGCGGCAGTTGGCGTTCCTGGTCTTTGTCATGCTGAATGCGTGTGAGCGCTGGGCCTTCATGATGGGCCTCCTGGGAGGACACCCGGGAACTGGTCTGGCACGCCCTCTCGGACACTGGCACGCCATCTCGGACAGAGGTGGACTCGAGCAGCTGCGCCTGCACAAAAGTGAAGGCGCACACCACTCGAGCCGATCTCGAGGCTGGCCGCCTCTCTGCTCATGCGCGCACGGGTGATGATCTTGCGGACCGGTACGCTCGGCAAGCCTCTCAGTTCTCTCGCGCCTGCCTTCGGTACCGCGAGCGCTTCAAGACCTGTGGTTGAAAGTCGAGCCGATGTCGCGATCACGGCGGTGGCCAGGGAGGAACACACACCGGCCATAGAGGGAGGCGTGGTGTGGTGTGTGCTGTGTGCCGGGCGGGAGAGTTGACGATCTCTAAGCTTCTCAGAGAGCCCTGCCCACAAGCCCACCCTGGGCAAGGCAAGCATAAGCAGGGCAAGGAGTGGCCTCATCTCACGGAAGCCTGGCGCCCCCCGTGCTTTGTCAGGGTTGCTCGGACGTTTGAGTCTCACCAGCCTTCCTGAGGGGCACCCTGTCGCTTCCCCATCGACTGGTGGAAGACAGAGGGGTGCCCCAGGATTTTCTTTTCGTGATGCTCCTGGTGATCTCATGGGTGTCAGCTGCGTCGGCAGGCGTGGGTGGAAGAGGGGTGGCGGCACAGTGTTATGATGTTCCAACCGACTTTAGCCCTTGACCGCCAGAAAGAATTTCAAACACCAGACAAATATCGAGGCTTTGGGCCCTGGGAGGCCATATTCGCTCGGCACTTCGCCAGCTTGTCGGGCAGACACTATTACGATATTTTCCGGGGTGCTCGCAAGTAGTTCTGGGATGTGGTTCCTCAGTTTGATGGGAAAGCCGCAGAGCGACTTCTCGCGCTGGTAAAAACAAGTGGGGGGTGGGGTCCCGCGCCAGCCCAAGAGGTCCGCGCGGACCTTCGAGACCTTTTATGCTTATGCCTAATGTGTCTTGTTCCTGACGATACGCCGCCCGACAGGGGCTCCTTCGTACCCTGCCGTCTCCGGTGGGGGAGGCGGATGTCCTTGCGCTGTTTCCAGCTTCCACGGACCGCGGTAATTCTCACGTTGTACAGGCAATTGCGCCGCCTCGCTCGCCCCATGTTGCTCGACTGGGTGCCGCGGGTGGGTGCCACTATACATGCGGAGCCCGGGACGGAACAAGAGATCGGTGTTGGTTTCGGTTTCCGGCAATCGGTTTCTTGCGGTCGTTGTTCTACGCGTTCCAGATCGCAGCGTCACGGTGCAGCAAGGTTGGGACGCGTTGGAGATTGCAGGGTTGAGAGGCCATCGGCACACTCACTGGGCAAACCTCCCCCTCTCCCTCCGTCCGCCCTTCAATAGAGGTGGTGGGAGAGGGGGGAGTCACGGTAGGCGTATGCTGTTCCAACCTGTTTTAGCCGTCATCACCAGAAAAAACATCGAGCACCAAGGAAGTACCGAAACTCTGGGATTTTCACGTGTCGGGCCCTGGGACACACTCGTTCGACACTGTTTCGACACTGTTTTCACACTTTGCTGGCTGCTCGAAATTATTTCTGGGATGTGGTCCTTAAGTACGATGGGAGCAGTCTGTGGGCAGGTGCCCCACGGAAGCTTGTTATTCCCCGATGGCCACAGGGGCCCGTGCAGCGCACGAGATCGACTGTCGATTGAAAGTATGCCCCAAGGTGAGCTAAAGCTATATGTCGTGTCGCGCGTGATCTGTTGTAGGATACCGATCATGCCGACCTCTGCCTTGAGCGGGCACAGCTGTGGCAATCCCACATGTTGCCGCGGCCGTATTTCACGCGGCCGCTCGCCGTTGCGAGGTATGCCAGCTCGTTGTCCACGTGCTCTTCCTCCGCCTCCGCCGCCTCCATTTGTTGGCGTTGATGTTGCTACCGTTTTGTTGTTATTCCTATCTCTCTCCCCTTTTTCTTCGATCACGGCATCATGACATCATGACCCACTATGTTATCCTTCGCAGCCTGCCCATCATTACCAGAATCCCCACCCCTCTGCAGAGCCGCAGCAATAGCCAAGTTATCCCCGTAGTTCCACGATTTCTATCCAGTCGCCAGCACTGCCTTCTCATAATATGCCTCCTTCTCCCTCTCTCCCCCGCGTCCCTCCCCATGTCAGGTGGGCCGACGACTATTACGACCGCATAGACAGCGGTGCCTTCCCGGGGAGGGCTGCCGCCGACCACAGCAGCAAGACGTGGCAGAGATGGCGGCCTTGGCCCCCACCCTACAGTCTTCAACCCCTCCCCCCCCCCACACGCCTCCACTCGGCGGCGAGCGAAGAGGGCAGGTGAGAAGGAGAAGGCCCTCTCAGAAGGCGGCGGGGCTTCTGAGAAGCCCTCGGGCCTTCTGCGAGGCCCTCGGCGCACTTCTCAGCAGGCCGGGGGACTTCCGAGCCTTCTGCGAAGGCCCGCCCCTCCTCACTTCCCCCATGGGCTCGCCGCCGATCCGCCCATCCCCAGTCCCCACCACACACACACACACACACTTTTTGGGCGATCGCGGCCTCGCGATCGCGGCGACGAGACGGAGACGGTCGAGGTTCCGCGCGCGGAGCCGCGGCCGAGCCCTCCGGAATCGCCCCGGGCTCCGCCGCACCTGTCGGCACAGTTGCGGCGCGGCCCGGCGTGGATGGCAGCGAGGTGGTCACGAGCCAGAGCGTCACTGCTTGCCAAACCACCCCAGCCCAGCCCGAAGGTCCCAGATCCTCCTGCTCCTCCTCCTCCGCCTCCTCCTCCTCCTCCCCCTCCTCCTCTACCTCCCCCTCCCCCTCTTCCTCCCCCTCCTCCCCCTCCTCCCCCTCCTCCTCCTCCTCCTCCTCCTCCTCCTCCTCCTCCTCCTCCTCATCCTCCGTTCTGGAGTCCGCCCTCCCCCACCGGAAATCGACGATCCCAACGGTGGCCTCGGGTTGGGTTCGGCCGATTTGGTAGGTCATCAAAATGAGCTTGCCCGACATGGCAAGGCATGAGAAAAAGAAAAAGGAGAAGAAGAAGCGCCATCCAGCACATCCCGGCGTGGATGGCAGTGAGGGGGCACGCCGCTTCAGCGCAAGTGTGGAAGCGAGGCGAGCGGGACGCAGCGGGACGAAGCCGGAGGAGGCCAAATCAAAGACAGAGGAGAGCCCAGACTGGCGTGAGCGCGTGGGCCAAGGCGCCAGAGGCACCGAGGGGAGAGACGAGGCGCTGCGGGAAGAAGGACACCACGAGGCGAAGTGCGCGGAGAGCGAAGAGAGCGAGCACGGCACCAGCGAGGCTGGAGCCCCGCGGGGCTGACAGATGGCGGGCAGGACGGCCTCGCCTGGACTCAGTGCGGGAGGCGGGCCGCTTGCGTGGGGCTGCGGCCCCCTCAGTAGGGCCCAGGGATTTGCCGCCTGGGGAGGGGGGGCGGCCTGGGAGGGCGCCTCGCCTGCGGCAGGTGGTCGAGGTCGATGGAGTCGGCGAGTTGGCTGGGAAGGCCGAGTGGGAAGGCAGTGGGGGCCGGAGGGCCGCCTGTGGCGGTGCTGGCCACGGCCCGGGTCTTGCTCTGGGCGGCCCAGCGCCTCCGCTGCCCGCGAATGGGAGCAGCGCCGTCGAAGTCCCCGTCGATCCACGAAGTGACCTGCTCGGCAAGGGCGCGGTGGGCTTTGCTGGGCCCCGGGCTCCTGGGCCGGCGTGGCGCTGCTGGCCTTGGCCTGGTGCTTCGGGGGGGACGGCCGCGCAGAGATGGGAGAGGAGAATTCCTCCGCTCTGCTGGCCATGGCCTGGGGCTGTGGAGGCGGGGGATGCGCCAAATCTGTGAAGTGCCCTTCCGTTTCTCTTTGCGGCCCTGCGTCGGCTACTCACGGGGCGCCACGTTGGTCGGGCCCCGTTTCGTTCTCATCATCCTTTGCCTCCACATTCAACTGTTTACATGGACGGTCTGACGGCCGGTGCTGGCGCCGAGTGGGGGGCAGGCACGGGTGGACCGGGAGCTGCGCCGCTGCTGCACACGGGTCAGGCCTCGATCGCGCGAGGCGCTTCGGGTTTGTCAGCGGCGGGGCCACGGCAGAGCCCGACGGCCGATGGCGGTGGGGGCGGCGGGTCTCGGGACTCAAGAGACAGGTCAATGCAAACGGGGGTCAGCCAGAGCATTGACCCGGGTGTGGGTGCACGATCTTCCCAGGATCTTGCAGCATCTTGCGGGGTCCTGCAAGGCTTGACTGACCCGGGTCTGGATGGACCCGGGTCAGAGGATCCCCGAGGGGTGGGCGTCGACCGCTGATCGCCGCGACCCGGCTCGGTTGGCCTCCCCCAGCGTCCTTCGGCGGCCGCACTGGCGCTGGCGGGTGTGGGGATCTTGGCCCCCCCTGGCCCAGCAGCCCGGCCCCGGGAGCGGGACCGCGGGGGCGGGCGGGGTGCGTCGCCGCCGCCCCTCTCCCTCATGCTCTCCTCCCCCACCTTTTCCGCTTCATCCTCTCCCCTTGCCCCCTTTCCTTCTACTTCTCCACCGCCCACCCCACCTCAATCCTCTCTCGCCCCTCTCCGCCACCCCCGTCCTTTCTAATTCCCCGCTTCTTCCCTCCCCCCCTGTTGTATCAATTCTTTTCCGCGCCTAGCGACCTGCCTCTTGCAGTCTTCTGGGCCAGGAAAAGATTGACGAACAGACAGAAACCACAGAAAATGCAGACGCTCTGAAAGGTTCTCGCTTACCAAGCTCCTCATGGATGTTCACTTCGGGGTCCTCTTCGAATCTCCTGGGCGCCTCTCGGAACCCTCTGGGAGCTGTTGGAGGGGCGAGGCAGTGCTGGTCGATCGCTGTGCCCATGGAGGCCACCTCTGGCGCCATCTTGGGCATCGTGGAGGTATCGGAGACCGTCAGGGCGGCTCCAGGCCACCGGAAGCTCTTGGGAGGGAGGGTCACGCGCTGCGGGCGCTGACAGGAGCGACCTGGGGAAATTGCAGATGTCCAGCCACGCAGCACACAGTGGAGGCCCATGCAACGAAATACCCTGGTTGCATCCAGGGTGTTCTGGGTTTCGATGGTTTTGCGATGGAGAGAGTGACGTTCCCACACCAAAGATCCATGGACGTCCTGGGGTCTCAGGCTTGGGTTTCTTGTGGAAGGTTTCTTGTGGTCGAGACCCTACTGCAGTAGCAGCGTGCCACTTCATGATGTGCGAATGGCACGCTTGTGGATCTCTGCATCGTCGGCTATACCAGCGACGCATTTTGAATGCACGCGAAGCGATTATCCCGTTACCTGCACTGGGGGATCACAACAAGTATCCCCTCGTCCGCCGGCGGACCCCAATCTTGGGAGGAGGGGGAGCTCGTCCACTTCATCCTCGGTCCTTCTCGCCTCTCTTCTTCCTCAGTCCTCACCGTCCTCCTCATCTTCCTCCTCCTCCCCAGACCCTCGACGGCGTGATTTTTGTCACAACGTGGACCCCCAGGAGGTCTCGATATCTTCCCCTGGACTGTTTTTTGTTCAGCCCGAGTCGTTTTCTTACGGTCCCAGGGCCTTGTAAGGGCCACAAGAGACAGAAGATTGTCGGAAGTTGTCCGTCCAGAGTTTTGACGACGCGAAGCGGTCTTGGCTTTCCCCGCCCTCCTCATCCCTCCCCGCCCCGCACTCACAGGCGCCAAGCGGGGCTGGAAGCGCAGGCGAGAGAGCTGGAGCGAACTCCCCGATGCCGACTCGCCGCAGGAGCGACCGCCCTCAGGGGGCCAGGGGGGGGGGGCACCCGGACGCTTGGGTCGCGTCTCTTGGGTGGTTCGGTTCAGGATCGGACCTGGTTGGCTCTGGCCCAACCCTGATCCTTGTTACGCCATGCCCAGTCCTGTCAATCTTTGACCCAGTCTTGCTGAATCTGGCTCGAGTAGCATTACAACTGGGCTTACTAGCGCTTACCCGTTCCCGCGAAGGCGTTCCAGGATCCGCCTCCGAATGACACTTGGCGGGGAGGCTCGAGGAACACGAGAGTCGAAAAGCCTATATTCGAGCAGCGAGATTCGGGTCGCCAGTGATGGGGGGTAGCGCAAATGGAGGGTCAAGAAAGCACCCTTTTTGCAAACTTAAGGGGCCCTTTGTTGCACTGCACCTTTTTGTAAATCCTCGGCGCCGCCATCCGGCCCGCCCTTTGCTGCGTGGTGAACGCCGCGGTGAGTTTGATGTGGGCCATAGAGGGCTCTTCTCTGACTGGCCCCAACCCGAGCGAGGGGTTACGCGGCGGCACGAGGGCCGCATTGTTTCGGTTTCTCTTACTTCGTGCAATGCAGCACTTGGCCCTTTTTAAAGACACTTTCGAGCAACTGTTTGACCAGCTGGGGCAGTTTAGGGGCACTTTTTGGACACTCATGCATTGCAACTTTTGGCCGCCATCCAGTTTCGCGCATCCAAATGTCTGACCAGTTGGCGTTCGTGCAGTGCGCAGACCGCAATTCTCTGGCGGCATGAGCAGTTGCGCCTCAAGCTTGGGAGAGCCACCGTCTGACATCCTGCGGGCATACCGAGCGTCGCACACAGTGCGAGCAGGGCCTCCGTTTCGGATTGTTCCGTTTGGGATACGTGCGCAGACCCCCCCAAATGCGTGACCCCCGATCACCGGCGACCCGGGAGATGTTTTTGTTGAGCTTTCAGGCCGTTGTGAGCCTCGCGGGGCCCTTTCGTGGCAACAGCTGGACCCGTATCAAGTTTCTGGCCAGAACGCAATCCCAGGTTCATCCCCCTCCATCTCCCCCTTCCCTTCCTGCCCCTCATTCCCCCTTGTTCATCCTCAAATTCCTTCCCCTCCTCGTCCTTCCTCCGCCTTTTTGTTCCTCCTCCTCCTCTTCCTCCTCCTCTTCCTCCTCCTCCCGGCCGTAACCATTTTGGCTCAAGCCGTTCTCAGCCGTGCCTCGGCCATGTCCGCCCCACGTTTTGCCGCTGAGACTCGCTTGGGAGATGGCTGCGGTCGGCTGCCTGGCCGCCCCCGAGGCGGCGGAGCAGCCCAGCAACGGCGGCGGGTCGCTGTGGCCTGCGCGGCGCGCCAGGCAGGCGGCCACGCGCCCGGCGGCTGCTGGCCGCCGATCGGCCGCCCCCGAGCGCGTGAAGTTGCTCGAGTCCAGATTCGCGAAGCCCGAGGCGTAACTCAGGAAGACCCTGGAGGTGCGCGAAGAGTCGGCCCAGCAGGCTGTGGCCCCGGCGGGCACGGACGCGACGAGGGGGCAGACGACAAACTGAGGAGCAAGCTGGTCGGGCGGGTGACCCCCGAAGCGTCGATCTTCGCGGCGGGCCTGGCCGCGGAGCAGAGGGGCGCGCTCTTTCCCTGCGTGCCGACGCTGGGCAAGCAACGGCGCAACACGGCGGCGCGCGTTTTCAGCACCGCCGTCACGGTGATCCAGTAGGCTGGAAAGGCGCAGCTCAACAGCATCCAGCGAGGCGCCAGATATCGCCTGCAGAGGTTTGCACGGCTGGGCCGACGCGAAGGTCAGCCTCGGTACGCTTGTGGAGCTGAGGCATGCGACGGCGCCCGCTTTCCTCTTCGCCGCCCTGCTGGATCTGGTCTTCATCCTGGTGGGCAGCGGTCCAGCGCGAGGAGGCCGCCGACGGCAACGGCGGCGCCCGTCCGCCGCGCGCCGTCCGCGCGCGTTTTTTCCGACGCGGCACCGCTCCATTGGATCCTGGCGCGCCGCCGCGGTCGCAGCGCGCCGCCAGGCACCGTCGCGGCGCTGGCCGAGCGCGAGGCGCGCTGCCGAGCCGAGGCCTCTGCCCTTGGCGTCGGGAGCGCGCCGGCGGAGGTGGGGCGGCGGAGGGGGGGCCGAGGACAGCGGCGCCGGCGCTGGCGATGCTCCCCGCGCTCAACCCGCTGCCGCCGAGCCACTCCTGCCCTCCCCCGACTGCGCGTGCGACGCGGGCCACTTCGCCCAGGGGAGCGTCTCATTCAACGCCGCCGACTCCGCCGCGCTCGGCGCGCAGGGCGTGGTGGACACGACCCTCGTTCTCGAGGATGGCGTCGGCCTGTCCCCAGCGCCCGCCGCTCGCTGTCTTTCGGCGGGTCTGCCGGCGAGCTGGCGCCCGAGCCAGGCGCGGCCTCGGCGGCCCCTGCATGGCGCGCAGCACGACTTGCACGGCATCCTCTTCCGGTCACGCCGTCGCGGATCTTGGAGTCGTCGAGCGCCACCTGATGGCTAACGAGGCTGCCCTCCTTCGCGGGCGCAGCGAGGTGGTCCGGGGCGTCGACGGCGGCGAGGTCGCCCCATGCGAAGACCGCTGCCATCGTGGAGGCGGCGGCGCTGGTGGCCGACGCGCATTGCCACGCGCTGGAGTCGGAGGAGATCGACGATGGCGCGGGCGAAGCGACGGGCGTCGAGGCGCTGGGGCGCCCCATGCGGGGCTGGCCCCAAGACGGCCTCGGCGAGGCCGCCCCGGACGACCCGTTCGACCAGCGCACGGTCGTCGGCCGGAGGCGGCGCCTCGCGGCGCCGCGCCGGCGCGCGCACCTGACCTGGGCCATCGCCGACCGCGAGCAGTTCGAAGCTCAGGTCGCCTACATGGCCAGGGATCTGGAGCAGGCGAAGGCGGCCGAGCGGGCTCGCGTCGCCGCGATGGCCAGGCCTGCGAGGGCGGCGACACGCGGGGGGTGAGCGTTCGGGCGGGCCCTCGCTTTGTCTGCTGGGCAGGCGCCCCTCGGCGCGGGTTTGGGGGGCCGTCGCGTTCGCCCGTCGGGGCGCGGGGGCGGCTGCCAGCGGCTTCTGGGGGCGCACGCTTCTGTCCACTTCTGTCCCCGCGGAGGTAGCTATCGCCCGCCTGGCTTGCCCTTCGGCAGGCCGGGGTCGGTCGGATGCTTGTCTGGATTGGTTCGGGCCCCCCCCCTCGTCGCCGCGACGTCTGCGCGGCGCGCCCCCGGCGGCGCGGGGCCCTTCTGAAGGGCGCCCGGGGCCCTGGCGGTCGTCCGCGCGCAGACGGTCGCGAGGGCCTCTTTCGATGATGAGCCATCCATCCCTTCCCCCCTTCCCCCCGCTCGAATAGGATGCCCCGCTGCTATCTGGGCCCGAGCGCCCGAGCGAACGCATCTTTGCTCGAGAGGGAAAATGCAGTCTACTTCGTTGCATCGCAGCCACGTTTTCTGTCTTGCCCCCAACCCCGCCATTCCAGTTGGCAGCGGAGCTGGGAGCTCCCCTAGCTCGCGATCCGCGGAAGGCGCGCAGAGCACGACGTGGACGCGCACGTGTTCTTCCCTCAATTTCCGCACTGGTTCCACCGTTCATTCCCTGAATACTTTGCGACTGCGGCTTTTCAACAGCCTTCGCGGCGATTCACCCACCTCATCCACTCACGCGACGAGGCCACCGCCAATGGCCGCAAGTGAGAGATGGCGTCTCTTATGAGACAGACGGCCTGGCGCAGAATTAGGTCGATCCAAGGAGCCATCAATGCCTCGCCCCCGTCATCTTCGAAACTTCTCTGCGTTGGCAGTGGGGCGGGTGCATTTGCGCTACGCTGCGCGATTGGGCCAGCGCTTGGGTTCCGACTGAGCGCGGTGCTGGCTTGCTTCTTCGCGAGCACGCCGCGCAGCCCGGTCTAGCCGGTTTAACGCGCGCGCATCGCTGCCCCTGCGCATCGTCAGGGGTTCAATTATTAGTGCGATTGCTCCAATTCGTCGACATGGTTCTCGCCCCCATGCAAGGCCTGGACCTACGGCGCTTGCATCGAGACAACGATGGGATTATCAGGGGAATCTCAAACTTGGCACCTGCTCGGCAGTGCCCCAATCCCCTCTGCGGTCGCCTGGCTCTGGCTTGTTTGCGCGATGGCAGGGGCGGCGTCACATCCCACTAACCACCGCCCTGGCCACCCGAACGAGAGCCAACCTACCCGTTTCGCCACAGGGTGAAGAACCTATTTGTCTAGAGCTTACTCGCCACCGACATGAACAGCGCCCAGCGGCCCGCTGCCATCGCCCGGGAGCTCGGCGGCGGAGCTCGCGAGGTCACGCGTTCCATGAAATTTCACGGTGATGGCAGAAGGGGGATGGTCTACGGACAACCAGAGGACGCCATCACCTACCTCGCCGCAAGCATCGCGACCCTGTTCGGACTACTTGGCGAATGGCCACGCCCGCAGGCCACGCCACCAGGCAGCGCATCGAGACCGCCGACGCGCTGCCCCCTCGGTTCCTCGCATTGTGACGCGGAGCAACGCATAGCGCAGGGGTTACTGTTTCACGGGAAGGCCATAGCTAGCTGCTCCTCCGAGCGGTTGGCGCTACCGCCAGCCAGCTCACGACGCTGCCCCAGCCTTGCGGCAACCTATATCCAGCAACAGAGCTTGAGTTCAACAGGGCCACAATTATGCTCAGGCACGCTGGTCACATCGCGGAGCACGCGCCCAACGACATCGCGGGCCCCTCGCTCTCACCGCCATCCTTCGGAGGCTTCGCAGCCATGACCAACGACAACAGCAACGACGCAAGCGCAGCAGACCCCGTGCATTCACAAGGCCCGACCCTCGGGCTGCCGGCGCCACCGACCTTCAGGCGCCGGAGGCGCCTTCGCGTGCGACGGTAGGTCTTAAGCCGAACGCCGCGCCGCCGCAGGTCGCCGACCTTGCCCGCCGTGGCCGCGCGCCGTTAATGCGCAGTTCTACAGGCGCGCGAGTGGCGCCAGTTCCAATGCCAGCTCGGACTTCGGAGGCGCGATCGGCGGTCCATCGGATCACTTCAGTGGCCTCCCCTGGCCCCCACTAACGTCCAACTATCTTGGCAAATGAGGCATCGCGAGCGCCAGTGGGCGGTGGGGCACACGGAAAAACCCACAGGAGAAAAGTCAGCAGATGCATCAAGTCGCAGGCAAAAGCATGGGCAAGGGTGCTCCGAAGCACAGCTTCCTTGCCCAGCTGACCGACGACCAGGCGGGCGACATCTTCCACAGAGGCGAGCGCTCCAGCGGCAACGGCGACGGCCGCAAGGAGAACCCTCAGGAGCACCGTGGGGCCGCGATGGCGCGCAGCATCTGCGGCTCGAAGTTCCGGTTCTGAACCCATTGCATACAGGCCGGCTCTTGGAGCTCAGGCGCCCAAGGAGGTGGTCCGAATTTCGGAGGTTGTGCCGTCCCAGGGCCCACCAGTCGCATCCAGAATGCCAGGCTTCTCCCTTGCATCTCAGGAGATGCATCCATGGTCGCCGAAGCTCCACTACAAGCGCAGCCAGGACCCACCCACTCCCCAGCGCAGCCTGCTACCGAGGGCCCTTCGCAGATGCCTGAGTCCATCCACGGCTCTTGGTCAGCTGCATCGCCGACCGCCGCCCAGAGAACACGCGCGCGCCGACGCGCCCGCCGCGCCACCTGCACCTCAGATGTTCAACGTTGCCGCGCCGCCCTCAGGACCACCACTTCCGGCGCTGCCGCCGCCCCAAGGTTTTGCCCCAGCAGCCTCGGAACGACGAGGAGGAGGGGGAAAAGGAAGGGGCCAAAACACGGATGAGGAAGAGCAGACGAGTGAATAGTGAAGGGTGACCAGGAGTCAGGCTCAAAGATGGCCGCGGACTCGGCATCTCGGGGGTTTCTTGCAATCGTGTGGCTGGAATGTTGGAGTTTCTCGGGGGGCCTCAAGAGATCTCTTGAGGGCCTCTTCAAGGTCTGCTGACGGTCTCCGCTCGAAATGTCAGTTCGGGTCCCCCTCTGGATGGTCCCTTGAGGCCCTGTTGGGAGGCTCCTGCGCCCTCTTGGGGGGCGTCTTGGGCGGTCTCGGGGCCTTCTTGGTCTGTGTCGGGGCTCTCTTGGAAGCGTCTTGGTCTTTCTTGGGACGATGGCGGGGGCCTCTCGGGCCGTCGCGAGCGGTCGGAAGCCCGGAAACGCGAGAACGAGGATCTATATATATATATATAGAGAGAGAGAGAGAGAGAGAAATATGTATCAAATGAAATTGGAGATTCGCATTGGTTTGTCTGTTTTGGGCTTTCTTGGGGATGTTCTTGGAGGATTTCGTGGGCCGTCGTGGGGGCATGTTGGTCCATCGTTGCGCTCTTTTGAACACTTCCAGGACCATCCGGGAACGTTGCAGCAGAGCCAAACTGGACCACGGTTGATCCGAAAGCGAAGGAGAAAGGATCTACCGGGGGCGGAGCTCCTTCCCAGGACGCCCCCTTGGCGGGGAAGACATCAAAGGGAAGGGGATTCCTTTCGATTCGGTTACGGCAGTGGTAGATTTCCGTTGGGTTGACGCGCTTGGCGCGCGCCCGCAGAAGAATGAAGGGGGAATTGGAAAGAACCAGAGACGTGAGTACTGGAGAGGAGACGCCGACATCCTTTCACACACGCCGACAGGGTCGGCGGATTCGATAGCACATCGAGTCCAGGCAGCGCTGCGAAAAGCAACGCTAACAACAGTCTGCAACACGTCCACCCAAATGCCATTCAATAAACTCAGCGCCCATAAAACAGCAGCGCATTATGCAGGATGGACGGTCACCGTGTGTCATGTCCCCCCATCTTCCCACACGTGATGATGGCACCGCGAGCTCATACATACACACACACACATTCGACTTGCGCACCTGGGAGACGCCACGACAAACCAGGGTCGTCGCACCAATCAAAGCTAAAGTAATCATGCGTTCCCTACTCCTGTTGCCAGCCTGATCATCGCTGCGCCGGTCCAGTTCCCGCCACCGCCGAGCTCCAGCCTTCAGACCCTAAAGCACCGCGTGGAGGCGAAGTGCTCGACTCGAGACATGCGGGAAGCCAAAAAGCCTACAGAGGCCGATGCGTGATGGAAGGATCAGGAGGTAAGAGGGGGAGGGCAGGGAGGAGAAAGGGAAGGGTAGAGAAGGCCTCAGAGATGGCGGAGTGGGGGAGGAGGAGGAGGAGGAGGAGGAGGAGGAGGAGGAGGAGGAAGAGGAGGAGGAGGAGGAGGCTCATCCTCCTGCTCCCTCCCCGTCCACCAGTCCTCGCCTCCACCCCTCGCCGTCCTCATCCTTTTCGCCCAGGGTGGCGAAGGAGTTGGCGCGCAGGGCCGGGTGGCCTGTCCCCCCGCGGGCCGCCGCTGCCGACGGGCCGCGGCGTCAGTATGTTGGCATGGTCGAGTGCACAAAACCCTCCTCGCTCCCCCTCCTCCTCCTCCTCCCCCTCCCCTCCTCCTCCTCCTCCTCCTCCTCCTCCTCATCAGCATCATCATCCTCCTCCTCCTGCTCCTCCTTCTCTTCCTCCTCCTCCACCTCCTCCTCCTCCTCCTTCTCCTCCTCCCCCTCCTCCTCCTCCTCCTCCTCCTCCTCCTCCTCCTCCTCCTCTCCTCCTCCTCCTCCTCTCCCTCCTCCTCCTTCTCCTCCTCCTCCTCCCTCCTCCTTCCTCTCCTCCTCCTCCCTCCTCCCCCTCCCTCCCTCCCTCCTCCCTCCTCCCTCCCTCCTCCTCCTCCCTCCTCCTCGTCCCCCATTCCTGCTCCCCCTCCCGCCCTCCCTGCGGGCGTGCGTCGGGCCACGCTGCGCTGCGGGCGGCCGCGCTCCCTGCAGGAAGGGGGCGGGGACGGCGCGCGCCCGCCCCCGCGTCGACAGGACGGCGCCGGGCCGCTCTGCCGAGAGGGCCACCGGCTGATCTGCGACAGGCCGCGCCCGCGCCGCCCCACGACGACGAGCTCGAGCACGGTCGGACCGAGGTATTTTTTTGCCCATCGTACTCGCTCGCGCGTGCTCCCATTCATCTTTGTCGCTCGCACTCACCAGCCGCGCAGCTGAAGACGTTTCCACTCTGCTTCCCGTGCGCCGTGTGGCTCTTCGCGGGCGTGCTGCCGCTGCTCCCGTAAGGCCGGGCCGAGGTGTAATGACACCGGAGAAAAACCTCAATCATAATATTTCTTGGGCTGTAGGGCTATACGGTTACAGGACCACAGGGCCAGGGCTACAGGACTATAGGGCCATAGGGGCTATAGGAACATAGGGCTATAGGGCTACAAGGCAATAAGGCTGTAGGGTTATAGGCCTATAAGGGCTATAGGATTATAGGGCTATAGGGCGATTGAGTTATAGGGCATGAGGACTACAGGGCTATAGGGCTATCGGCCTATTAGGGCTATAGAGCTATAGGGCTATAGGGCTATAGGGCTGTAGGGCTATAGGTCTATAGGGATATAGGGCTATAGAGCTACAGGGCTATAGGGCGATAGAGCACCCGGGCACCCTGGGGCACCCGGGCACCCCGGGCACCTCCGGGCACCCCTGGGCACCTCTGGGCACCCCCGGGCACCCGGGCACCTGGGCACACCTGGGCACCCGGGCACCCCCGGGCACCCGGGCACCCGGGCGTGCGGCGAAAATCGGCGGCAAATTTGACCTAACCATACGAATCCGCTAGGACCCCTACAGAGGCAAGCTCTGATTGGGGAAAATCGAGGTGGGCTCTGGGAGGGTACCCTCATGTCCTTCGTGTTGGTTGGATGTTCTTGTGCATCCTGTGGAGGGGGGAGGTCGCCCTCGAGGGTTCTTCAGTTCGGCCAGCGGAGGGTCTCGTGTGCTTGAAGGATGTTGTTCTGTCCTAGATCTGGCCGTAGGTTGTTCACAGGTTTCTGCCTCTGGGGGCCCGTTGTTGAGCGGATTTCGAGATCGCATCGTCGTCGCCCAGGACTAGGTGAAGAGAGGAGGAGTGGAGGAGGAGCGGAGGAGGAGGAAGAGGAGGAGGAGGAGAAGGGGGACGGGAGGGGGAGGCGCAGGAGGAGGGGGGAGGGTTTTTTTGATTGCAATGTATCGCCCCGCAGGAGCACGCGCTTGATTTCTCCAGGTTGGCCAGAAGCAGCAATGCCGCCCGACCCATGGGTAATTCGTCGAGGGAGGCCGAACCCCGTATACAGCACGTTGGGGACTGGCCAAACAGGGCGGTGCTCTGTTGGAAGCAGGGTGATTTGTTTCGTATTCACTGTTTTGCCGAGAGGCGCGGGCCCTCGCACCCCCCTCCCCCCCCCATGGTTCAAGCAGGTGGGGTCTCCCCCATGGGACGCACTGTTGCAGACAGTGGCCTTGAGCAGAGGCCCGGAGGCCGGAGGAGAAAGCCTTCGCACGGGAGGGACGATGGGTTCGGCCGGGGCTCCGATGCCTGTGCCGTTCCTGGGCTCGTGGCCGAGGCTCACCGTGGCCGGGAAGAGGCTTCTCGTCCTTTTGTCTGGCGTTGCTTAGATCAGCATGAGGATCGTGGCTCCAAAGTGCAGCCGAGGCTGCCCTTCGGTGAGGGGCCGATGCGCGAAGTGCAAACCAGTGCTGCGCGTGGGAGGGCCAAACAGCTGAGGCAACACGTCTGTGATGTGCCGTCTCGCCGGGGTGAGCAACAGGCTGGGCGGGGAAGCCAGGAGTCCCAGTCGAGGACAGCCATTTTGTAAGCATCCTGTGATGGCACAGGATGAGGGAGTCTGCACCGAGATGGGGAGGGAATCCTTCTACATAGCGAGCCGACGCTGGTAAGGTGAGGAGGAGGAGGAGGTTGATCACATGAAGCGCTTTCGAGCGCATTACGCCCTCCAATGTGGCAGGAGGAGCCCCTCACCACATGTTCGAATCACATCCCCTGAACATGTTTCCTGGAGAAGTGTCCAAGTGCCATGATCCCACCAGTGGCCGGCCAAGGATCGTCCACGAGTGTTCATGTAGAACCCTCCACCCTCAAGACTTCGTCGAGTGGGGGGAAGGGGCGCTTCTATTGGAAAGCACTGCCAAACGCGGGCACATACACACACAGAGGCCATCACTAGAGAAACATTGGCAACGTGCGTACCTGAAGAAGCCTGAAGGAAAGCATCATTGGCCGTGAACGGTAGAACGCTGCATCGATATGCCTTGGAGGAGAACACATGCGCCACCCTTGCCATGTGGTATATTGGCAAGTAGGAGTAGCGCAGTGTCCGGGGCCAGTATAGGCAGGCTTTACGATTGGGAGGTTCCCTTCGACAGCCGTTGGGCCGTTAGGGGAATGTGTTTGCTAGTCCAGAGCCTATGGATGGCGGCGCGCTCTCAATAGTGTGGGCACTAGCGTGCGGTTGGGGTCAATCGCTACGTGAGGGCGATTCCTGGATCAAGTAGCGAAACAACCCACTACGGATAGGGGCAACCTTAGTCACAACCATGGTGCCCGAACCAGCGTTATGGTAGGGAAGCGATAAGCGCAGGATATATTGGTAGCTAAATTGTCACGGTCACTGGATCGAATTGAATGTGCGACGACAGGCATGAGGAATTGTACGATTGACCTTACATGGTATTGTTGGCTTGCGTGTTGGCATTGGCGTCGCAGGCACGGGCGTTGGTGCGGTTGGTATTGGCTTTGGCACTGCGTTGTCACGGGCGTTATCATTGATGCTCTTGTTGGCAACAGATGCCGCAGGTGGCATTGTTGGCACGGGCGTTAGTAGTGGCATGACAAGCGCGGACGTTGGCACGGGCGCAGGCATCGCTCACACGGGTTGGCACAAACTGTATGGTAAAATAATTGGTTCCCTCGGGATTGACGCTGTGTTCCTAGATTGGTCCTTGCGACCGCTAACAGACGGTGCGTGCCTCGTGGACGCGAAATGCCAGTACCGCGCAGAGGAAGGTTGATTTGTGCATTGCCCTATGCGTTTGAGAAATGCGGTGCGAAGATTGCAGAGGAAAATCTAATCGAGTCGACGGGGCCTGCCGGTGGGACAGCTTATGCTCCAAAGTAGCGTGTTGTGCGTTGCAGCATTTTATGAGGATGGATGCCTGCTGTGCTCTGGAAGTTTGAGTTCTACCGACGGCCGCGGCAACACCTTTGCCAACGTGGCCCAAATCCCGCCAGGAACGCAGAAAGGCCTGCCGCGATCTCTCCCATTTCGCCATCGGCTTCAGCGCGCGCGCGCGTGCATTCTGCTGCTGCTGACAGCTCGGCTGCGGGTTCAGAAGAGGGACGTTTTGGGACACCACTTGGAGGAGTGGCCAAGGGGGGCGTTGGTGCCGCGTGACCCGCGGAGGAAGGAAGGCCTGCTGCTTACGCAGCGGGGCTAGCGTTGCCCAGAGGAGGTGCCTGAGTGCCTCCTGGCTCCCTGGGGAGAACTGCCCAAGCCGCAGGCGCTTGCAGATGAGACGACGATGTCAGAGCCTGCCAGGGGAATTTCTGGGGCATGTCCAGCGTGAAGAAGATATAAAGGGAGCACCACCGATAATCCCAATTCTGGACTCTCTCTAGAGGGGGTCCTTCCACGACCGTGGAATGAACATCTGCTGCAAGGGCCAAGGATGCGTTGTGGGCCAGTGGTGCCTCTGCTGGTGGAACGCTCCACGAAACAGGCGAGGAGGCACGGGCGTGAAACGGGATACGCTGCGGCACAGAGTGCGCGGAGGCTAGGGGCGCTCCACCCGCAGAGGAAGTCAGGTGCATCGAAGAGGCCAGACCGATACAAGGTGTAAGAAGGTTGTGGAAATGTTTGGGCTCAGACTGTAGAGGGGTGAGACAGCCGAGGGGCCAATGTCTCCACTCCGCAGGCGCTATCTTGGCCCATGGAGTTCTTTGCCAGACATGTGAAGACCTCGTCCAGCTCACCGACACCTTCCTGAGCATCTTGGGGTTGTGCCTGGACTTTCTAGGGTGGGATCCCCTAGAAAAGCATGTGCATGAGTTCCAGGCGTCCGAAGGCCTTGTCGAAGAGCGTCTCCAACGCGAGCGGTGTTGTTGCCTCCATGTGGGCCTGGCGGCCAACGATAACATCGACTGCCCAGCCCTAGCCGCCTAGAATTGAATAGTATCCTAGTGAGCAATCTGACTGGCAATGCCCGCGCGCGCTGGCAGCCCACCTGGAGACAGCCAGAAGGAACTCTTCGCGATCGCGGATGCACCGAATAGCTCGATGTTGCGGGGGTGTCTCTGAAAGCTTGCATGCTTCTTGGGCACCGAAGCGGCACAGGCTCTAACGCCATTGTTTAGACAATGTTGCTATCATATGAGACAGGCCTACCATTGAGAGAAAACAGGCCCAACAATGTAATAGCGTGCGCAGATGTTGAGTGGGCCCGGTTGTCGGTCTCTTGTTGCCTTGTATGTGACCGCAAATGTGTATGTTCAAGCTTCCTGCGGCCCAACGCCACTGCCTTATGTAAGAATGGCCCGCTTGTTCTGTCAACGTGTCAAACTTTGTTAGTATCTGAAGCTTGCATGTCTCCTGGGCACCGAAGTGGCGGAGGCTTTCACGTCGCAGTTTAGACAGCGTCGTTATCATATTAGACAGGTCCCCCACTTAGAAAACACGGACCCAGTAATAGTCCTCGTCTTATTCGTTCCTCATCCCGGTCCTGTCAGTGTGGGGCGGGCAGGAGGGAGGTGTGAAGGAAACATGAGGGGAGGCATCATGGGAGGGGAGTGGAATGGAGAAGCAGGGCGGATGGGAAGGGAAGGAGGCGGGGAGGAAAAGGATGAGGCGTGTGGAAGGAGAAGAAAGGAGGATGGAAGGAGAAAGCACAGGGGATGGTGGGGGACGGGGAAGGCAGGGTACGGAAAGGGGGCATGAGGCGGGGCAGGGAAGAGGATGAGGCAATTCGAAGGGGGGTACGAGAGCAGGGGAAAGAGGGGAATGCATGAACGATACATTCCCCAAAGTTCCCAGGAGTTCCCCAGAGACCTGCGGAGCCCCACCCCCGCCCCGCGAGACAAGCACAGAGACGTGGATCCCCAATCCTCGAGGAAGAGAGGAGGACTTGAGTTCAGCGAGCCTGCCAAGGCCTCGACGTCAAGCAAGCATTGACTTCACTGTCACGCCTCTGGGCGTCGCTTGGCGAGCACTCCTCCAAAAGTGCGCCTGCCCACGACGTCCGGGGGCAGGAGATGCGAAGCGAGGAGCGAGGAGCACGGGCGCGTCCGCTGGTCCCCTCAGGGAGGAGGAGGAGGAGGAGGAGGAGGAGGAGGAGGAGGAGGAGGAGGAGGAGGAGGTAGGCGGATGAGGAGGAGGAGGAGGAGGTAGGATGAAGGAGGAGAGAGGAAGGAGGGGGGGTGAGGGCGGGAGGGGAGGGCGGAGCGGAAGGGGAGGGGAGGATTGAGGAGGAGGAGGAGGAGGAGGAGGAGGAGGAGGAGGAGGAGGTAGGAGGAGGAGGAGGAGGAGGAGGGGGAGGACGAGGAGGAGGAGGAGGAGGAGGAGGAGGAGCGCAGGAGCAGAACGAGCAGCAGGAGGAGAGGAATGAGGAGGAGAGGGAGGGGAAGGGGGCGAGGGGGAAGGAGGAGAGGAGGAGGAGGAGGAGGAGGAGGAGGAGGAGGAGGAGGAGGACAGGAGGAGCAGGAGGAGCAGGAGGAAGGGGAGGAGGAGGAGGATGAGGAGGAGGAGGAGGGGAGGACGAGAGGAGGGGGAGGAAGGAGAGGAGGAGAGGAGGAGAGGAGAGGAGGAGGAGGGGAGAGAGGGGAGGACTAGGAGAGGAGGAGGAGGAGGAGGAGGAGGAGGAGGAGGAGCAGGAGCAGGAGCAGAACGAGGAGCAGGAGGAGGAGGAGGAGGAGGAGGAGGAGGAAGAGGCGAAGCGAGGAGCGAGGACCGAGGAGCGCGTGGGGCCCCGCGGGAGGGCGGGGGCACGGGCGCGGCCAGCGCCGCGCACGCCCCGCTGCCCCCCCCCCCTCCCGGAGGCGGCCAGGGGCAGTGTGCGACGAGTGCGGCGCGGCCGGCACGAGGTGGAGCTGCTCCGGAGGCCGGGGTGCGCCTTGGGATCAAGCAGTGGCGAATCGCCCTGGCTCACCTATAGGCCCACCAGAGAGTGTTCTAAGAACCTTTGTTGGTCTGCACGAAATGTTCTTAGAGAACATTTTTGGCTGAGACTGTCTTGTCTTGACACATCGGTTTTATGTGATGAGGACATTGTTTTTATTATTAATCGCTTCGCTCATTCCGCCAGCCCTGGAGCGCTATTTGGGGCCTCTTGGGGCCGTCTTGGGGGCTTCTTGGGGGTTTCTTGGCGTCTTGGAGCTCCTTGGCGGCGCATTGGGCTCCCCTGGGGCCTCTTGGGGGGCTCTTGGGGGCCCCTTGGGGCGGGAGGGGGTGTAGTCGATTGCGGCCCCCCCCTCGGAGGCCACAATCTTCGTGAGGGGTGGCGAAAAATAGCCCCCCCCCCTGGGGATCGCCCGGGGGTCAGCCGGGGATCGGCAGAGGTATTTTTCGTCCAGGGCCCCCCAGGGGCCGCCCCGCGCGCGCGAACTACAAGAATTGTTAAGTAGTTACCGGAGATCTTATCACGCCTCTGGCCCACTGGGCCGGCGAATTAGAACATGTGTGGGTTCTAAGAACATTTCGTGGTAGGCCTACAGGAATGCCGGGACGGTCGGTCCCTGCTCAGTGGGAGGGACGGCGCCAGAAAGGCGAGGGGGGATGGGGCAGGGGGCCAGGAGGGAGGAGGGTGGGAACAGTGAGGAGGAGGAGGAGGAGGAGTGAGGAGCAAGAGGGGGAGAACGAGGAGCAGGAGTGGAGAAGGGAGGAGGGAGGAGGAGTGAGAAATGAGCGGCAGGAGGAGGTGGAGGAGGAGGGCTCGGGGAAGAGGTAGGAGCGAGAGGAGGGAGTAAATTGGAGTAGCGAGAGGAAGGCGGGAGGACGAGCGAGAGTCGGGAGGAGGAGGAGGAGGAGGAAGAAAACGAGGAGGAGGAAACATGAGGATAATAAGAATAACAATAATGATAACAACAAGAAACACACTTACGAACAAGACAGCAACAAAGAAAATTAATACGAGGAGGACGAGGAGGAGGAGGCGGAGGAGCGAGGAGGAGGAAGACGGAGGAGGTGGGAGATAGGAAGTGAGGAGGGAAGAGGGAGGGAGGAGGGTGGAGGAAGGAGGCGCGAAAGGTTGCAGGTGGGAGGAGAGAGGAGAGAGGAGGAGGAGGAGGAGGAGGAGGAGGAGGAGGAGGAGGAGGAGGAAGGAGGAGAGAAGAGGAAGAGGAGGAGGAGGAGGAGGAGGAGGAGGAGGAGCAGGAGGAGGAGGAGGAGGTAGAGGAGGTAGAGGAGAGGAGAAGCAGCGACAGGAGGAGGAGGGAGGAGGAGGAAGGCCGTGTTATGGCAACGTTCCTCCACCCTGGCGGCACCCACTTCTATTGCCCCCACACACACACACACACACACACACACACACACACACACACACACACACGCACACGCCCCCCCCCGTTAGCTTGCGCCCGAGGGGGAGGGGGGCTGCGCGAGAGTGCTAAGAGAAACTGCGCACCGCGCAACGCGAGGCGCGATGGGTTGAAAGAAGGGCAGGAGGAGCAAGATGTGTGCCTCAATCGAGGGGGAAATGGCTGGAGGAGGACGACTTCCTCGATCCTCGATCGAGCTGAAGGAGGAGGAGGAGGAGGAGGAGGAGATCCTCGACCCCCAATCGAGCAGGAGATGGTCGGAGGAGGAAGATGAGAAAATCCGAGAGGAAGGAAGATGATCACCAGGGGGGACGGTCGAGGATCGAGGATCACCATCGATCATCTGGGTGCCGACAAGAGTCCGTTCAAAATCGGCCCCCTGATTTCTATCAGGGTCCAAACAGTTCACCCCGGATCGATTTCCGATGGTCCCTGGGGCCGAAACGGACCCCCCCAGAGGGCGAAAATAGTGAAAGATCGTGTCGAATCTCGATTGTCGATCCTTGAACCTCGATCCCCGATCCTCCTAGAGCAGCAGCTGGACCCCGTGACGCAGACTTGGGCGCACCAGCATGGTCGGAAGAAGAGAAGGAGGGAGGATCACCGATCGATCGAGGAGGAGAGGATCGGATGAGGAGGAGAAGAGGAAGTGGAGGAGGAGGAGGTCCTCGAACCCATACCAAGGAGGAGGGATGCAGAGCAGGATGGGGGGGTAGGAGGAGGAGGAGGAGGAGGAGGAGGAGGAGGAGGAGGAGGAGGAGGAGGTAGGAGGAGGAGGAGGAGGAGGAGGAGGAGGAGATGAGGGGAGGAGGAGGGAGGACCGAGGACCGAGGATTCGTCCTCGGCTCTCGAACCTCGAACAGTGATTCTCCATCGTCCGCCCCCCCCCTCCTCTCTCGATCCTCGATCCACGGTCCTCCTGGGGCACCGGCGCGGGGCCCGGGGAGACGCGGACGGGGGCGCCAGGCCACATGCTTGACGGAGGAGGGAGGATCGAGGATCTCTCCTCGGACCTCGAGGATCGAAGCTCGGTCCTCTCCTCTCCCCTCCTCCCTCCCACGTCAGGAACGACCCCTGCACCTGTCCCAGAGCGCGTGGTGACCAGGCTGCCCCCGGGCGGACCCACACGCGGCGACGGAGGGCGGCCCCCGAAGGTCCCCAAGAGGAGGAGATCCTCCTGGCGACGCGGCGGGGCCGGGCAGGCGCGGAGGCAGCGGCGCCAGAACTCAAGGGATGGGGGTCCTCCTCCTCCCACTCCTCCTACTCCTTTTTCCTCCTCCTCCTCCCGCCTCCTCCCTCCTCCTCTCCGTCCTCCTCCTCCTCCGCCTCCTTCCTCCTCCTACCTCCTCCCTGCCGCCCTCGCCTCCTCCTCCTCCCCTCTCCTCCCTCCTCCTTCCCTCCTCCTCTCTCCGTCCTCCTCCTCTCCCTCCTCCTCCTCCTCCTCCTCCTCCTCCTCGATGCAAACGGGGGTCAGCCATAGCGCCAGATCTTGCAGGATCCCGCAAGGCCAGGGATGCATTGATTTGGGCTAGGGTGCTCCTGCAGGATCCTGCAGGGCCCTGCAAAGCCCGACACATCCGGGTCTGGATCGACCCGGGTCATTCTGTCCCCGCTGGCTTCACCACCAGCGGCCCCCCAGCGCCACCCTGCAGAGCCCGCTTGTCCGCCGCTCGTCCGCATCATATCCCCGACGGCGGGGAGGCGGTGGCCGCTCTTCGATGTTCGAGGAGTCTTCGATTCTCGATCACCCCCTTCGAGGAGTCTTCGATTCTCGATTTTCGAGGAGTCTTCGATTCTCGATTTTCGAGGAGGAGTTTTCGAGGCGTCTTCGAGTTTGCGGGGACACCAGCGGGCCCCAGGCAGGCGCCCGCAGGGCGCGCGCGCGCGCGCGCCAGGCTGCAACTTCGACCTGTGCGCGGGGTGCGCGAGCGAGGCGCCGCCGCCCTCTCTCGCGAGGAGGGGGGGCCCTCTCTTGCGGGAGGGCCCCCCCTCCTCCAGGATGGCTTCTTCCTCATGGTCAAGCCTCGAGGATTGTCGTCTCTTTCGGGGACTCCTCCTTCTCCTCCTCCGCCTCCTCCTCCTCCTCCTCCTCC